TTTGATTACTATGCGGGTTACTAAAAATCAAGTGTTAACCTGCCCATGGACGTAATGAAACCTTTAGGAGGCAAATTTTAACAGACGTTATAGTACGGGAGGTAGCAACGTTTGAAAAGAAAGAATTTTAGGTCAGCTGATTTTGTGATATGTCTTCCTTCTTGCACTTTCGGTTAGAGTCTGGGCAATCTGGCTAGCGGTAGCGGTTGCGTTCATTAGTGCGCATCCTATCTGTCCAGGTAATAATCCTGGATTTTAAAAGCATTTTAAGAAGCGTAATTTTTAATTTTTCCTTTTTAAATAAGTCTACCTGACATACTTTTTTTATTGCCAGACATTTTTCACATTGCTAACTATGTGCCAGACGCGATTTTAAGTTTTTGTTTTATAAAAATTTCTAAGTATTTTAGAATGTCTGTAATTTTAATATTATGTTATTTAAATATAAGAAAAACTAAAAATGAATTTGCCAGACATTAATTCGATTAGCTGGACAGATAGGATGCGCACTAATGAACGCAACCGCTACCGCCAGCCAGATTGCCCAGACTCTTACCGAAAGTGCAAAAAGGAAGACATATCACAAAATCAGCTGACCTGAAATTCTTTCTCGAAAACGTTGCTACCTCCCGTACTATTAGTAGATAGCTATTTGTAATCAATGTATATTGTCTAACTCAATGGTCTAGTGTTTAGCAAATTCAACTATTTATTATCAGGCTTAATTTATGTAAATTATTAAATCGTACGCACAACTAGTGAGAGTCTAAGTGCGGAAACTGAGTCCACCAACCTTTTTACCCTGGCTTTAATCGTTAGAATCCAAAAAGCCATTACAATTTTTAAAACATTTTTTTACTTCTATTATGTTGCTATTAACAGCTCTAAATTCTGCACAACGAGCAACTGCTGACAAAGTATACTCCAAAGCGCCACCCTCTCCAGAACTTACCATTGAAGATATTCGGAATGATGACAATGCAGTGACAGATCCTGAAAGACTAGAAAATCATATCAAGACACTCAGACCGGAGAGCGAGGAGAAAAAAAACCAAAGTCGTGTAGATGACGACAACATATCTACTGACGAAGTGGAGGAAAATGATGGTTTGTTTAATTTTGATAAACTTGACAAGACTTTAGTAGTATTAACTGTGTCTTCTGTCTGATTTAGTTATATTATTCCTTACCCAATTTTTTTAGTCGTTTACTAAGAAACGTATCTTAAACCTCGCACGCACTGCATAACTTTTTACATTTAATTTTCATACCTTTTTACGTATTTGAACTTGCTCCGACTCGTCCATAAATATCATGAGGATATTTCCGGAGTAGTTGTCGCCCGGGCCCGGCGAAAGACGCTAAGACCTAGATTTAAGCAAATAAAGTCACTTTTTAGGAAAGATTATTAGGAGATTTCACACTGCCCTGCTGCCTAGCTTTTTGGATCTGCCTGATCGCGTGCCCGATAGTTTACTATATATAATAAAAAAAAACTAGTACAGCCAAACATGGATGAGCGAGAGTTCAAGGGAGCACAATCTCAGCAAGTGCGAATGTAGTAAATATGTAATATGATAAAATTATGTGCACAAACATATATTATGTACATATAGGTATATTTTATTTTATTTAGATCTTATTTAAAAAGTTAAGAATGAGTCATAAAATAACAGATGTTAAATTTCTACTTTGTTTTGTCATTTGTTACTGTATCTGTGTATCTTTTATGCATGTATGTATTTTTATGGTAGCTAGAGTTCGTCCTAAAGACTATAAATAAATAAAGCTCGACTTTCGCTTATAGAGGTATAAATAAGTAGCAGTCTCACTTACGGAGGTCCATGAGGGAAAAACGACTCTCTCTTACAGAGGTTTCTGTTTCTAGCTAATAGAGGTTTTGAGAACTTAAAATGACGGGTTCCGGCTATTAAGTACTCTCACTTATAGAGTTTTCTCACTTATCCAGTTCTCACTTACCCAGGTTTGACTGTACACGTTATCAAAGTAAGATTAATATACTTTGTTAATAATTCCCATCAGTTGTATGAGCTTAAATAAATTGCTAAGTTTATTTATAACTCCATCTATAATACATGCATCTTTGCCACATGTCCCACTATGATTCTGATTACAGATGCCACCGACACCTTAGATAATCGTTCCTTTGAAGAGGTCCGACGTAGGACGTCTTCAAGGGAGAACAGTCCCATACTACAACGATTTCCGGACTCTCCTCGCCATCCTGCCTTATTTAGTAAGCCACCATCAACAAATCAACGAGTAACTAATTCCAGTCAGAAGCATGAATCTCCGACCGTCAGTAACTCACCCTCGGAATATGAATCAGTGACTGATTCAAGTCTAATCCTAGGGATGCGTCCAAACTCAAACTCAAAATACCTGCATGAATAAAGATATTTTGAGTTTGAGTTTGATATTTGGTTTGAACTGATGAAATGAAGTCACGTGTTTTTGTTTTGTTTTTATTTGATTACAATGCGGGTTACTAAAAATCAAGTGTTAACCTGCCCATGGACGTAATGAAACCTTTAGGAGGCAAATTTTAACAGACGTTATAGTACGGGAGGTAGCAACGTTTGAAAAGAAAGAATTTTAGGTCAGCTGATTTTGTGATATGTCTTCCTTCTTGCACTTTCGGTTAGAGTCTGGGCAATCTGGCTAGCGGTAGCGGTTGCGTTCATTAGTGCGCATCCTATCTGTCCAGGTAATAATCCTGGATTTTAAAAGCATTTTAAGAAGCGTAATTTTTAATTTTTCCTTTTTAAATAAGTCTACCTGACATACTTTTTTTATTGCCAGACATTTTTCACATTGCTAACTATGTGCCAGACGCGATTTTAAGTTTTTGTTTTATAAAAATTTCAAAGTATTTTAGAATGTCTGTAATTTTAATATTATGTTATTTAAATATAAGAAAAACTAAAAATGAATTTGCCAGACATTCATTCGATTAGCTGGACAGATAGGATGCGCACTAATGAACGCAACCGCTACCGCCAGCCAGATTGCCCAGACTCTTACCGAAAGTGCAAAAAGGAAGACATATCACAAAATCAGCTGACCTGAAATTCTTTCTCGAAAACGTTGCTACCTCCCGTACTATTAGTAGATAGCTATTTGTAATCAATGTATATTGTCTAACTCAATGGTCTAGTGTTTAGCAAATTCAACTATTTATTATCAGGCTTAATTTATGTAAATTATTAAATCGTACGCACAACTAGTGAGAGTCTAAGTGCGGAAACTGAGTCCACCAACCTTTTTACCCTGGCTTTAATCGTTAGAATCCAAAAAGCCATTACAATTTTTAAAACATTTTTTTACTTCTATTATGTTGCTATTAACAGCTCTAAATTCTGCACAACGAGCAACTGCTGACAAAGTATACTCCAAAGCGCCACCCTCTCCAGAACTTACCATTGAAGATATTCGGAATGATGACAATGCAGTGACAGATCCTGAAAGACTAGAAAATCATATCAAGACACTCAGACCGGAGAGCGAGGAGAAAAAAAACCAAAGTCGTGTAGATGACGACAACATATCTACTGACGAAGTGGAGGAAAATGATGGTTTGTTTAATTTTGATAAACTTGACAAGACTTTAGTAGTATTAACTGTGTCTTCTGTCTGATTTAGTTATATTATTCCTTACCCAATTTTTTTAGTCGTTTACTAAGAAACGTATCTTAAACCTCGCACGCACTGCATAACTTTTTACATTTAATTTTCATACCTTTTTTACGTATTTGAACTTGCTCCGACTCGTCCATAAATATCATGAGGATATTTCCGGAGTAGTTGTCGCCCGGGCCCGGCGAAAGACGCTAAGACCTAGATTTAAGCAAATAAAGTCACTTTTTAGGAAAGATTATTAGGAGATTTCACACTGCCCTGCTGCCTAGCTTTTTTGGATCTGCCTGATCGCGTGCCCGATAGTTTACTATATATAATAAAAAAAAAACTAGTACAGCCAAACATGGATGAGCGAGAGTTCAAGGGAGCACAATCTCAGCAAGTGCGAATGTAGTAAATATGTAATATGATAAAATTATGTGCACAAACATATATTATGTACATATAGGTATATTTTATTTTATTTAGATCTTATTTAAAAAGTTAAGAATGAGTCATAAAATAACAGATGTTAAATTTCTACTTTGTTTTGTCATTTGTTACTGTATCTGTGTATCTTTTATGCATGTATGTATTTTTATGGTAGCTAGAGTTCGTCCTAAAGACTGTAAATAAATAAAGCTCGACTTTCGCTTATAGAGGTATAAATAAGTAGCAGTCTCACTTACGGAGGTCCATGAGGGAAAAACGACTCTCTCTTACAGAGGTTTCTGTTTCTAGCTAATAGAGGTTTTGGGAACTTAAAATGACGGGTTCCGGCTATTAAGTACTCTCACTTATAGAGTTTTCTCACTTATCCAGTTCTCACTTACCCAGGTTTGACTGTACACGTTATCAAAGTAAGATTAATATACTTTGTTAATAATTCCCATCAGTTGTATGAGCTTAAATAAATTGCTAAGTTTATTTATAACTCCATCTATAATACATGCATCTTTGCCACATGTCCCACTATGATTCTGATTACAGATGCCACCGACACCTTAGATAATCGTTCCTTTGAAGAGGTCCGACGTAGGACGTCTTCAAGGGAGAACAGTCCCATACTACAACGATTTCCGGACTCTCCTCGCCATCCTGCCTTATTTAGTAAGCCACCATCAACAAATCAACGAGTTACTAATTCCAGTCAGAAGCATGAATCTCCGACCGTCAGTAACTCACCCTCGGAATATGAATCAGTGACTGATTCAAGTCTAATCCTAGAGAAGCGTCCAATTCTAAGTGAGCCACCATTAAAACGTCGACTTACTTATTCCAGTCAGACGCATCAATCTCCGACTGTCAGTAACTCACCCTCGGAATATGAATCAGTGACTGATTCAAGTTTAATGATAGGGATGCGTCCAAATCTAAGTAAGCCTCCATCGAAACGTCAACGAGTAACTAATTCCAGTCAGATTCATCAATCTCCGTCCGTCAGTAACTCACCCTCGGAATATGAATCAGTGACTGATTCAAGTCAGTCTGCTTCAACGCCAGAGCAGCAAACAAACCTGCGTCGATCTTCACGTAAAAGGAAGAAAGTCGAGTACCGATCTGTGAATTTATCCACTACGCCCGAACGCCCTTCAACTTCCCGACAATCAAGGCAGAAAAAGGTATCCAGGCGTACGGTCAATACCAGAACGATAGGTACACAGACGGTGGATTATTGGTTTAGTATGTTGATGTATGATTATCGTGAGTACGACATTATTCCACGACAACAGGCTCAATGATTGTTGTATCTATGTTAAATCTCTACGTCTGTTTTTACGAGGTAAGAAGTGGATCAGTTCAAACAGTGGTTGAAATCACTAACTTAATACAATATTAAAATATGTATTTTTGGTTTTCCTCTTTCAAATACGAAGCCTTGATAAATTTGATTGTTTAATAATTTACTGTTTCTATTAAGTATGTTTCTTTAATAGAAAGAAACATTTATGTAATAGAAAGCGAGATACACGAATTGTCAGTGGGCAAATACTCTGTTTTTAATACTAAATGTTAATGGAATTACACAACATTCTACACACATCTTGATCATGACGAAAATAAGCATATATTTATTAATATATATATGTTACTATATACCTAGTTTTTGTTAAGTTTCATTAGAACGTTTTTTGTTGTCATTTTCAATATTAATTTTGTATACCGGAATCAATCAAATTTGACGACTCATTGGTCTAGTGGTTAGTACCCCTGACTGCGAATCCATGGGTCCCGGGTTCGATTCCCGGCTGAGACGAACATCGATGTGATGAGCATTTGGTGTTGTGCTTAGGTCTTGGATGTTTAAATATGTATTTATATGTCTATCTATCTATAATATGTATGTATATCCGTTGCCTAGTACCCATAACACAAGTTTCACCAGCTTAGCATGGGACTAGGTCAATTGGTGTGAATTGTCAAAAAAAAAAAAAAAAAAAAAAAAAAAAAAAAAAAAAAAAAAAATCACAGAAAATAATTTAAAAAAGTGTCAAAAAATTATTTTCATTGTATATTATTATTTTGATTAAATATGTACAAAAACAACTGTTTCATTTTAAAATACAGTACACTATTTTTATATTTCTAAAATTATTCCTAATTTTACATATATATCTCCCATATGTAGGTAGATATGGATTTGATTCAACACATTTTTCCAATAAATTGTTAAAAAATAGCATAACAACTGTAATAATAAAACTAACTTATTAAACTAAAATATTTCTTATTTATTAGTCTCATCAGGAGTTTCCTATTTCTTAATGAATAATTTAGGCTACTGCTTAATCGATATATATAATTTAAAAATTAAATAATTAGAAAATCCCTACGACATTAGACAACTGATTATCTGTTGAATCAAATTGCTATAAAACAACATTATCGAATAGTTTTCGTTATTATCAGAGCGCCCGTTACGACGACAACAATGATTATGAGAATAATACTGTTGGTGAGTACTTTACCATATTCTTTAATCCAAGAAATTTTACAGCATAATTCCATAGACTATATTTAGTTTCTTATTTTCGAAATAAGGTTAGGTTTATAATTAGTTTTACTCTATTTTTTTAGACTACGTTTGCTGCGGTATACCTAGCGTCTACATCTGCTATACCTATAGTAGATGAGCAAAGCAAAGATATAGTTTCAGGTGTGTTTATACCTTCTGACACATTTAATCACTTGCAAGGTCGAAAAAGTAGCCAAGATTCTTCACTGGAACAGAGGAGCGGGGATCCAGCAAGTCAAAACAATGTCCAAGTGACCTCCACTAACCCAGGCCAGCAACCAACACAACAGAATGTAATTGTTAACCAACAACCAAACGCGGGTAGCGCGCAACAGGCAGTCATGGTTAATCAACAACCAAATCAACAGCAAGTCAATCAAACCCCGCAGCCAGTGTACGTCAATCAGCCTGCCCAACAGACCTACGTAAACCAACCGACACAAGGCCAAACCTTGATTCCCCAACCTGGTCAATAGACGTATATCGGCCAACCAGGCCAACACCAACAAACATTCATTACGCAGCCAGGCCAACAAACGTTTATAAGCTAACCCTCACAACAGCCCACTTATGTAAACCAGCAAGGCCAACGTATCGTATTTAGTCAACCCAGTCAATCAGGCCAAACAGAGCTTATGGCACGACAGCCTCAACAAACGTTCATCATGGCGTCACCACAGGGCCAGCCCCAACAGATGGTAATTCAACCTGTCAACCAGCCTTCAAATCAACCGACGATGATCCTGGCTACTCAACCGAATGGCCAGCAAGTTTTATTGCAACAACAACCAAACCAAGTACTTGTTTCTCAACAGCCCAACCAGCAGCCAAAGTTTTAGTGTCTCAGCAACCAAATCAACAGACTTTCTTAGTTCCCCAGTCTACCGGGCAGCAACAAATCGTGGTTGGACAACCGTCAAGCCAACAACAATTTATTGTTCAAAGTCCACAAGGACAGTCAGGCCAGCCACAAACCATATTTGTTACTGGACCACCAAATCATCAAACCTTCTTCGTTCAGCAACCGACCCAGCCAACAGGATCACAGACAATTCTTCTCCAACAACCAGGCCAGCAACCAGGTCAACAAACCATTCTAGTACAGCAACCCGGGCAGCAATTACAGTCAAACCAGCCAGGGATAATGGTTCAACAACCTATTCAGTCAATGTCGAATAGCAATCAAGACAATGTAATCAGTAATCACGCTTGTACCCAATCAAAGTAGTGGCCAAATATTAATTCCAATTCAACGAGGAAAATAGTATGTCTAAATTAATAATTGTTTGAATAATAAAAGACTAATTCGTAAATATTTATATTATTTTACTCTTTATTTATAATATTTTTTAAAGAAAAAAAGAATGAAGAAACCTTTATTTGATTAAAGCACACACACATGTATGATGTATATAAAAGAAATACAAACACAACACCGATTTTCAGTCGGTACTATACTATCTTGAAGTGACATCTATATACGATTACAATGAACAAAATCAAAAACGTTTAACACCTACCAAAGTTAAAAATCTTACTTTAAGTGATATGAATTTTTTGAAGTTATACTTCTTTAGGCGCGTTATGAAAAATTTATGAGAGTGAAATTTTACGATGCGCGCGCACCGTGACACAAAATTAACAGAATGAAGTTAGTGGCGCATGTTGGCACGCACGCCGCGCCGCCTCTGTTCACTGTGTATTTACTATTTATATTTATAATATTTATCCACATGCTTTGACTTTCTACATTTAAAACACGTGTTTTCATTTTGTTTTCATTATACAAGTGCGAATTTTATATGTGCGTCTGAATTATAATCAGAAGTGATTTAAATTGAATATTTAAATCAATACTTACATATAATTATACTAATATGTAATTAGTATTGGAAAATAATAATAAATATAAATATAATATTAATAAATATTTATTTATTTAATTTTTCAAATGTAAACTGAACTTTATTGACTATAATGACTCCTTTTCCAGTGTTTGATTATTTAATTGTAATTAATTATTTGCATGCAATCAAAAACTATTTTTTATAATGCCAAAGAAGTATAACTTCTTATGCGCGTACATAAGTACATGCACCCTTTTTTTATTACAATATATATATAGATAGTTATTTTTATTAAACTAAAAAAATGTTTCCTAGGAATAATATACATGGTAAAACGACGTTTGCCGGGTCAGTATATATAATCGAATTACTTTTGAAAGTTTATATTTAGATTTTAGGTATAGTGTTATATGGCTTAACTTATTACTTATGAGTTTTATTAAAGAAAAAATAGTTGGTTCTTCATATCTTACGTTGGATTTCAATATCAATATCAGTTTTCCATTGATAATACTTAATTCTACAGCCATTATCAAATTTTGGCGATATTTCTTTACGCATTTCTTTCGCTTCATGCCTACAGATTGCTGGTAATTATGCAATAGAGACGAATGAAACAGCAAACACAAGAAACGCGTTTATTTCTTCTATTAACCTGTTGTTCTGACAAGATATGATGACAATAAATTTTGCGTATGTGTGTTAAGAAAAGGGTTTTATTATAGCGGTTGCTCTCAGGGCATATTGTTTCTGTTTCGGCTGTTGGCATCATATTCAAGTCATCTTTACCCGAAAACTAGTCACGTGAATACAGTTTATACCTGGTACGTGACGGCTGATACACATGTGACGGAACGAGGCCACGGTTCACAACTATCACTTGAAGTCGATAAAAAATATTATTGTTTATAATGAAATCTTATCAGGAATATTTTCGTTTTGCACAAAAATAACACTTTTTCGGAATCTACACCTTTGATAAATTAAATTTTAAACATTGTTATCTTTTGACCTTTACATACGCTGGTTCTTGCTACTTATCAAACCATACTCGAGTTATGCAATGGTGACATTTGCTTAATTATGCCTGCGATAACTATATCGTTTATTGGGCGTACTCGTAGTCTAATAACACAAATGCAAGAATTAATTTTAATCTAAGAATTAGCTTTAGCCACTTGTAGTTTAATTTTGATCAGAAATAGAACGTCTTTAAATATACGCGACATAATTTACTAGCGACCAGCCCCGGCTTCGCACGGGTCCAATGCTGATACTAAATTAAAAGGCAGGCCGGCCGGTACCGCCGCAAACGCTACGTCCCGCAATTTTTAGTAAATGACAAAAAAATGTTATTGTGGGATATCCATAACAGATAGACATATATATACCTTTGTGGAGTTTTCTGTAGACCTTTTCAATGTGTACAATTCTTAGTACATTATTTTGATAAATCTCGTAGGGTTCAGCCTGCGATTGCAATGCAAGTGGAAAAAATGTAATTATTTACGACATCACATCAGAAACCTCAAAAATAACAGTATTTCTCCACTATTTAATGGATGTTGTTATACATATAAACCTTTCTCTACAATCACTCTATCTATTAAAAAAACTGCATCAAAATCCATTGCGTAGTTTTAAAGACTTAAGCATACATAGGGACAGAGAAAGCGACTTTGTTTTATACATGATATCACATAATCGGTAAACACAGAAATAATATTTAACTTTTCGATAATTACTTGATTGATTCGGTACGGTATAACGGTATGTAGTATAACCTTGTTTTTAAAAATGAATTTGTGGATTGCCATAGTTGTGTCTGGTTTTATTCCGTATTACTGTTGTAGCATTTGTATGGGATCCTCGTTAAATGGACGCTACAAAAATATTGATTTAATTCAATGTACTTTATAAGATAACTCTATCAATGAATAAACAAGTTGTAGCTCGTTATTAGTATAGAAACAAATGGTGACTTTCACCAGTATAATACTCGAAACAGAACTAATCTAAGCGTACGACCAACCAGGCTCCAGAAGATAAACCACTCCTAATATGGAAATTGTATTCATTTTTACAACAAACTCCCAAGCGAAATTAGAGAATTTTCACAGAATAAATTCAAAAGTCTCGTTAAACGTAAATTAATCAAAAAAGCTTTTATAAATTTGACGATTATTGAAATGGTCCTAATCCTTGGGATTGATTTGCTCCAGTTTATACAATTTGTATGACTCAAAACTTGACGATTAAAAAGAGTGGCGGAGAGTTTCTTGCAAGTTCTTCTTGCCCGCTCTACGCTCTGACTTACTGGTAGTAAATGTATATTAAGAATCAATTTAGCATCTCTTCTGTTAACGTTCTTAAGTGTACTACCTATATGAATAAAGTTATTTTGAGTTAGAAACAGCTCCTAGAAAATTCCTGTCAATTTACCGAGTATAGAGTAAAATGAAGTTAGAAAAACCAAACCTTTATGGCTTCTGATGACATCTGATGTCACGACCATTTCTGACAACATCAAGAAGATATTTTCGATTTTAAGGGCTTTTTAATAGTTTCCATGTATTTGTTTTTAAGGCCAAATTAATGGTTTCAAATACTGAGGACACTAATATTAATCAAGGACTGAGGGTGAGTCGCTCATGGAAATTGTGAATTTACTGGATCTTATTTCGTGATTAAACTTTTGGTAAGATTTATTCAAATCCAGTCTGATGCACATATTTATTTTCATTTCATATCAGTTTTCTGGTTTTAATCGACGAAAAGTAGGAGCGCAATTTATAGACATACACTCACTTTATATTAGCATTTATTGTTGATGATGAGAGAGTTGATGTTGAGATGTCGGCATAGATTATTATATACATCGTTTATTTATTATATTTTCTAGGGGGTCGTGATCAGGTCCGGGTCTGATGATAAGGTTCTCAAAATTGAGAGATAATTAAAATTTTACAAGTGCTTACAACTTAACGCAACGTACGCGACGTTGCGTTTTTAATTGGCAAGAAATAATTAGAAAACTATAAAGCTTGCCCATGACACGACTAAGCCTTTATTTAGTGCACAGTCAGTTATAGCTTTTAAAATTAATATTTGTCTTTTATAGTATGTTTTATCTAAGTTCAGCGAAACAGGCGAGATGACGGGATGCGTTAAATGTGAGGCTTCAAGCGATTTAAATGCTCTTGCATCGATTGTCACAAGTCTGATGCACCAACTACAGTTAATCAACAAAATTCAATTGCCCAAGTTGAATAATGACATCGCATACTTAAAGGTTATCACTGAGCGCATAGTGAGTCAAAACGAGAAGATTTTAACAAATTTCGACAAATCACGTAGCAAAGAGGTGAAGTTTCGTTGTCGGAATTTGGAGTTATCGCCTCAAAGACAAAGTGGGAAGTTGGGTAATGAACGAGGAGAAGGACCTAAAGAGTCGACAGGAGAACAAAGCAAATCGAAAGGAGAAAGATCGGTGGGACGACGCACACGTCGTCGACTAAGACGCGGCAAAACATATCCTCTACGTAACATGTTCATTGTAATGCTTAATAGATCTTTTCACACGCGGTCAAAGAAAAGAAAGAACTAGCTGTCTTGGAACTGTTGTGTATGGCAACATATTTCATTAAAATTTCAAGAACGAATTATAGCTTTATTTTATATTTAAACCAGCTTTAGATGTACTGCCACCATTGTAGAGTGAAGCATATATGGCATAACTTCGATTCGTATCGATGCAATAATTATTTCGCTTTGTCTTAAAATCGATCAAAGATCAGAAGAAATATTATGTCTTCCCCGTTTATGCCAATGAAGCAGTTATTGCTGTTTTTAAACTTTCATAATGTTATTATTAAATAAAACAAATTTTCTCGTAATCCCAAATTAATATTCCTTTACATAAAACATTATTTAAATGTTAATTTATTATTAACACTTTGCCAACAAAGACTACGTATTATTCAAATTAATGCAGTAGTTGCTAGATTTGTGTCGATAAATATTTTTCTATTTAATCGGCTGCGTAGTAAAAGATTTTGGTTTTTCAATATGTTGTATGAGATATTCACCAGCGAGAATTAAAATGTTTGTCTCAGAATACGTCTATAACAATGTGAAAAAGGCTGTATTTTTCAAATATCACAATGATTAAAAAATTCAAAACATCGTTATCAATATCGATAAATGGACTTTATCCAATTAAAAAAACAAAACAATATCGTTAATTCATCAAATTCTTCAGGTTTATAATTTAAGTATAGAATTAATAGGACAAAAAATCACATAGGTAAATATTAGTGTAAATTCGCTATGATGACATCTCTACATGAGGTTAACGGTGTCCACCAGCGACGGAATTGTATCGTTGTGTTTCGTGGTATGGGGTGTTTATTGATTGCAGCACACAAGTGACAAGCCTGAATTCCCGGTGCGATTGCACGCACACGATAATAGTGTCTCCAGTTGAATAGTTGTATGTATTCGTTTGGACGTCGGATCAATTCAGCTATACGTTGCGCAGTGCGCCGTGCGCCCATTTCTCTTGCGTCTAGGTACGAACCCGGGGGTAGAAACCTGAAATAATGTACATTAATAACTACAAAATGGGGTACTTTTAGCGTAGAGGACTGCCTATACGCAAACCCTAAGGTTGTGGGTCCAAGGTTACAATATTTGCTTTCGGTAGAGGTAAATATCCTGATGAAACCAGGATGTCTAAGACACTGAAATCGTTGACGTGACTCTGGTACAGGTCTGGTCTTCTAGTTCTGGTATTCTATTTCTTTATAGACTAACGACTACTGAATTATGACTGACAGTTAAGTAGGCTACTAGTTTTTTTAATAGAAAAAGTAACATTGTATCTCGATGATACAAATAATATTTTGAACATTAGTTCAGTTTAGGTTTTGTTGTTACTGAGGAGTTACTTGAGGTAACCTAAATATTGTTCATTTCAATCTTAGATAATTGACTGAAGTGGATGTTTTATGTACCTAAACTGCATGGAACATTTATGACAGTAAGCACATACATTGCGTTGATATTGTTTTTGTCATATGATAATTACGTTTAGTCATTCTATGCCTTCCAAATCGAAACATTTACGATTTGCTGAGAACTGATCTCAGGACCCCGTTACCAACTAAGCCCCGGAGACCGTCGAAATACTCTGTTGTGTACCTGCTGTAATTGGCTCCACCAAACACGATAGGCACTGTGCGATGATTCAGAGCGTGAACCACCTTTTCAGTAACGTAATCGTCACTTAATGCATTCTCGAATGCCATGTAAAAATAATACTCTCGCTCTAACTTCATCAGGCATATATCCATGGCTGAAACTGGACAGAGTAAGCTACCGCAGTCTCCGTAAATATCAATATCTAGATCATAGTTGCGCAGATTCTGGCGTATCTGTCCTCCCAGCTCTTCACGCATGCTGGTAGTGTCACAGTTGGAAACAAACCAGGCAGCTGCCTTGCGTTTTTTTCGGACTATTTCCGCAAGGTCTTCGTCCCTGTAATTCGCCTTGTTCTCTTGCCAGCAGACTGAAGCACTCGGTGCGATATCAAATCCACTTGCGTTTTGAAACTCATAATAACGCCATACGAGATCCGAGTCTAGTCGATAGGTCCAGGTTAAATTGAAATAACCATTCCAGCGTTCTGTGCATACGGGGTAGTTGGCTGCAGATTCCAGACTAAGATATACATAAAGCTGATGTGGAGATCGGCGGCGTGGCAGTTGACTTCTGCTCACCAGATCGTCAAGTGAGGGTCCGTAGAATATAACGGCCTTGAACTGGGTGTAGTCAGGCAAATGGTTTCTGTCACTCGTGACGTAACAGTTCGTCCATGAGCAATTGTGCTCCTCAAATACAGAGCGGCCTTCGCCAAAGTGGCTAAAGGGTGCCTGATCAGGATCACCCCAAAGGAGAATATAGTGAAGTTCTGGAATGGCATCTGATTTTATTTCCACTACACTGGTACCGACTTCGACTTTCGATTCGTTAGTATTGTACGGTCTTAAGTTATACGTGTTAATCCCATAGTAAATTACTAAAACAAGCAAAGAAGTGAGCGTACAGTACAGGTTGCGGCTGATGTGGTAAAGGAAAGTCCGTGACGTGAGTGCTGGCATTCTCTAGTCACGAGAATACCACACTTGACGGTCTAGCAACGGGTACTAAGATTACAAACAAACAATTACCATTGTTTTTGACGCGGTTACAAACAGCCGATCTACGGAGAATACGTTTACATTCTTATAGAATGTAGATTTTTTTGTTGTTTGATGTTTTTCCAAAGGTAATACCGATGGAGGCTAATCATTTTTATTACTATAAATAGCGATAAAAAGCGTGGAGGAGGGATTTTTTGTTAGTTCTTCCTTCTACGCCCTTCTACTTTTGATCCCTGAAGGAAATTTTAAAAGGGCAAAAGACAATTGTCTTGGACACTTGTATCTTACCTACTCTCACATACGGCTGACAAATGTGGACATACAACTAAAAAATAAAAACCAAACTAGTAGCATGCCAGAAAGGAATGGAAAGAATCGTTCTAACAATAAGAAAAATACATAAAATAAAAAGCGGAAAATAAGACGAAACTCAAAAGTGATGGGGTTCCGAGAGACGGTAATGAAGGTAGCTGGGATATACTATAGGGCAAGGAGAAAAAAAATGAAATCTAAAAAGCCTAAGCTGTAGGGGATAGTCCTACAGTACCGGACAGCATCCAGTACCTACCGGCCAGTTGCAAGTTACTGAAGGGCAATTTTTTATAGTCTGGTTTCTAATAGTCTTTGAATTGCTATAATGAAGCTGATTATTTCTAAAGGATATGGTTCTTTGTTAATTTGATTAGCACAATAGTTCTTGTAAATATATCAGGAGGTACTCGTATTGAACATCTAACCTGATGTTATTTGATTCTATAACATTCCATTTAGGTTTTTTGTTTAGGATTACTTTTTAGTGACGTTCATAACAGTACATTATGATACCTATATGAATAAATGAAATGATCATTGCAAGTTATATAATATATTGTCATGTGATTCAATATTAGTTATTTAAATATGTACTTGTTCAATTACTACGGTGACATCATACCCTGAAACGCGGAAGCGAAGTTATTCAGGTCGCTAAGGACATACACGACTTCTCGACTTAGCTACCCTCACCACGGGCCTTTGTGCCAGCCAGTCAGTGCTTAGACTGATCGAGGTCTGCTGGTGAACCTCCCCTTAGGATGGAGGAAAAACCATCCTTCCTCCACATATTTTTACGCTTGTAAGGAAATTATAAATACATGTCCTTACATATCATCCCTCCCTTTTGCTTGCAATACCGTACTTATCCAGGTACATGACAAGTATAGTTTGATATAATTTAACTTATAGGCACTTTTTACAAAACTCATCTTGGTTGGTAACACAGAAGGAAAGAGGAGGCGCTGTGTGTAGTGCTGGAGGCGAATGTTAAGAATAGCGTGGCTGTAATAAGAGAGGCGCCGCACTGGACAGAAACTGGTGAAAACAGATAGTACACTCCAGATATATTCTTGCTGACCACAACGCTCAGAAATGCTACCGATCGAAGGGAGAACATTAAAACTCCCTTTGCAGTAGTGATTTGTATAAAAACTTAAAAACTCAGTAATTCAGATTTATTTATTTTAACCACAAAGCTTAGTTGAAATTCAAATTGTTTAACAATGTTAGCAACACGAATTAATAATATGAAGTCTTAATTTTTCTAATATATAGCATTTATTTATTTTAATATATTCTGGTTAGCCCCAAACACGAACGCTCTGGTCCCAAGAACAGGAGGCAAGGGCTATTCCATTCGGGGCGACAGATATTGAGGTCACACGATTTTCATGAGCGTTCAGTGTACCTGTGGAATAATATTATACAAGTTCTAGCTAAACTAGGGTAAGGTGTTTTGTTAAAGGCTCGAAAATTAATTAAAACAATTTTAGTACAGTTAACTGTTACTTTCACAGCTTAATGACTTATGGCTTATTATTATGGGGTCATGCTGCTGATGTCGATTTTTTTCATCCTGCAGAAGAGGGCTATTCGTGCATCTATAATTTAAAATGTAGGGAATCTCTGAGAGATAAATTCCCTAATGACAGAGTCAGTAATAGCTTTAGACTATTACATACATAGAACATACGTCACCTGTATGAGCCACCTTAAGTGTGTCCCAAGAATGAATTGAGTTATCATCAGATCCCGCCAACAGGTACCGTCCGCTGAACGACAGACCTGTGAACATAAGTTAAATATCCTAAATAAGGCAAAGGATCGGAAATTATTAGTTATGTTTCTAAAATCTGAATTCAAATATCGTCGAACTATTTTCGTTTCAATTTCGATTTGATTCAAAAATGTAAAACAAATGACGAGTTTCGTTTGATTGTGATTGGTCAAGTGGAAAGATTGCAGCGGGCGTTTGGAGAAAAATTGGACCATAATTATATGCAACGCGTCACAGTATTCCGTTTTTCTTAACTACTGTTATTGATTTCTTTCGATTTTTTTTAAACAAATTGATATAAATGAGTATTGTAATAAGTAATCATTATTGATAAGCATACCCTGTTGCATCTGACATAGACATCATTACAGAACTCAAATGTCATGTTTTATTTTCCCGTTTTGCTAACATTAAAAGAGCAGGCGTTAATTTCACAGGTACGTTAAATATGGATAATGCCTTTTATCAAAAGCCAACCGTTCTTATTGAATAAATTAAAATCTAAACATGTAGCTAAGATCAAAATATTTTTAAATTATGAGTTAAGTGAATTTCAGTGAAGGGAAACTTCGAGAGATAACCGGCATGCCATAGATAGTAGACATAAACGGTTGGTGGTGTGTGTCAGGGACATAAGGCTGATAACTCTTACACCCGCTGCTCTAGTTGCCGATTAGAAAAAGCCAAGATCAAGGGTTGTAGAGCCATTGTTGTTTTTACAATTGTAATAGCATAAAGATGCTTTTAAAGATTGTGGAAACAAAATTTAAAGAAATTTTGTTTACCACAACTAGTGAACCCAGCGTTGCCAGGCGGTGTGTAGTGACCAATCTGTTGGTCACTGCGTATGTCGAAGAGACGGGCTGTCTTGTCTTCAGACGCAGTCACAAACGCCTGCCCACTTGGGTGGTACTGAAACAAATTGCAGTCGTTAAGACTTAGTAAACTATACAAATACTATAATTACTATAATATTTACAGCTTATGTATGGCAAAATTTGAACTAATCTAAATATATAAAACAAAGTCGTATTAGTTACACCACTTATAACTCAAGATCGACTGGACCGATGTAAGTAATCATTTTTTGGTGGATTCTTCTCCGCTGCGAATAATAAGTAATATAATATCGGATAAGTTATCGAACAAAAATAAATAAATTAATTAGTTTTACGAATGCAAACAGCATGTAGTGCCATCTGTTGAAAGAATTACGCATATAAAAGAAACCTACCACTTTGTTCTTGCGCCGAATAACAAAACAAAAAATTTTGTTTATCAGAAAGTGATTTAACATTTAATTTAACAACATTTAACATGGAGTATTGCAACATTGGCGCTATAGAGAAGAGGCCTAATGTGTAAAACTGCCATTCTTCTTTCGCAATGGCAAGCAATAAAACATTTCTGTATTTTCAAAAAAAGTTGTATTAATGTTATTACCTTCATGAAATCCTAAATTAAGTTTAACTAAAGTTAACACGATATTATTAGACTGTTAGGTGGAACGAAGTTCGCCGGGTTAGCTAGTTTTATTATAAAAGAAAACCATTTGCTAAACTATATTTTAAATAATTTTTGGATTACTAAGATAGATATCAACATTATAGCCATAGACCAATTGGAAGATCTTTCACCTCCTGAAACCCCTTAAATAACTAGCATTATTATGCACCATTATTACTTAATCACTCAATATGGTTACGTCAATGTTTCAGATTCAGAGCGTAGCTTATTGACGAAAATTATAATACTCTACTAAATAAAACTAAAATAATTTCTTATTATAATGAACATAGCAATCGTAATATCGTATTGTACCCATTGACAATGCGTGTGTTTAAAGTTAAAGGTGATCTTTAAATCACTTTTCAAAGATAATTCTTAATAAACATTGAAATCTATAAACGAGGTTATATATTAGCATCGGCATATAACTTGGCCGCATTTGTGTGCAGAAAAATGTAAGTACAAAAACTATAAAACGATTAATGTGCAGTGACAGCATTCTCGTATGAGCATTAAAACTGTAGGAAATTGAATAAGAAACTTACACAGACACAGTTCACATCAGCTTCATGGCCGAAGAACGTTTGCTTCTCTTTCTCCGCCCGAACGTCCCACAGCTTGCATGTGCGGTCCACTGATCCCGTTACGAAGGTTTTCATATCTGTATTATTTAGGTTATTGTAAATTTTAACTGAATCAGTGTTGAATGCAGAGTTAAAGCAATGAGCCATAAAGTAGTAAAGTACCTGTTTAACCTTATCCGGGATACTTATATTACACTAGCTGCCCCTGCGAACTTCGTTTCTCCTTAATGTGATTTTACTTAGCCTACCTTTTTAGTACATACCAACATGGAACGTTTTGCTACCCCAGAGACTTTTCGGTTTTCCGAAATGAATATTTAGTGAATTTTTCTCTATATATTAACCTCAGAGTTCAAGTCAATAGTTTTTAATATACAAATAAAAAATAGGGGATGATCGTAGAGAGGTGAAAATTAAGGGTTGTATGTATTTTAGTATACAAAAATAAATAAAATTTTTTTTGGGTTTTTTCCCTTACCCTTAACATTAGGAGTTTGAAAGATAGATAGTAGCCGATCCTCAGACTTACTGAATATGCATAAAACATTTCATAAGAATCGGTGGAGCCGTTTCGGAGTACCTAGTATGGGAACGAACATTGCGACACGAGAATTTTATATATTTAGAGATGATAAAATAAAGTCCCCCCAGAGGGAGCCTCTCTGTATCTCAAAAGCTACATCAAATCATACCAAAATATACGAAATACATACGAGCTATTAGCTGTGGTTGAAAGCTAGTTGGTGTGCGAGGAGATTATCAGCTAAACAATTATTCTAGAAGTAGAGATTCTAGCCTATTCAATATCATACTCGTAATGCGCAAGTGTTTGTGCAAACATGAATCATGATATATTTTCGACCCATTTTATAGACGCCTGCACTTAATTCGTAGGCAATGATGGTTAATTGATGTTGTACTCTTTCCGATCCACATATATAACGAGATTCTGTTTTGCTTTAATTACTTTAAAAAAAAAAATATTTTTTATGGATCAGTGGGCAAGCGAACAGGTAGGTCACACAGGAATGAAGGGTATTCGCCATGAACACCTGAAACGGCAGGAGGCTTATGTATAGAATCGGGAATATCGCCAGCTGGTACTACTGAATAGCGCTTTGTTATAGAACTCCATTTCATAAGTTATTTAATTGCTATAATCTGAATATCAACACAACTTGATTGGAGTATTTATCTAAATTATTTAACTCTACGTAAGAAACGTCTTAGTATTATAATCTCAAATTATTGGATGTTTCATGTTACCTGGCGCCAAAGAGATGCTGACCACATCACCGCAGTGGGCGTTAAAGTCTACCTCCCTCTTTCCCGCTTCCAGGTCCCATACGCAGCTGAAAGTAAAAACGATTATGGCTGATCCATGCTAATTCATGAATTATTTTATTATATTATATATTATATTAATTATGTTGAGTAACAGAAATTGATGGCGCTTCAACCTTTTTAGCCTTAAATTTCTGTAACTGTTTCATGATCATTTGTCAATCCAATAGGCAAGTAGGTGATCATCCTGTGCCACACACGCCGTCGACTTTTTAGGTCTAATGCAAGCCGGTTTCCTTCACCGTACGAGCGAGTGTTAATGCAATAGAAAGAAAATCCATTGGTGTGCAGCCGGGGATCGAACCTACGACCTCAGTAATGAGAGTCGCACGCTGAAGCTACCAGGCCAACACTGCTCAAAATGCAGACTGCTCGAAATGTACATAGGTAAAAGCTATTAATAGATACAGTTCTAAGATATCCCTTACATTGCATATACAGGGGTTCATCATATATAAGTGTTCCTAAGTAGATATAGAACACTAATTAGAACGCAACGCTTGAAATCTAATTAAGTAAATGCAGATACACGATGACCCATAAATTATAGATTATTTTTATTAATTTTCTAGAGTTACCCACAACCTGCCCCATAATCCAACCTTGCCTTGACGTTGATTTATAGTAAATCATATGCATTGACAGGGTGAGATAATATAGGCAGGTAAAGATTACTGCCAGTAGAGATATAACCAAGCCGATACGACATAGACGCCTTAAAAAAAAGACCATACCATTCCCTGAAAGGTCGGCAACGCAATCGCTAGAACCCAGCGTTGCAGGTGTTCATGGGCGGTGGTTATTACATCATTTACGATCCTGCTCGAATGCTTCCTGTCCCATAAAAAAATGCGAAAAAATTGATTGCGAGAATGCTGTCAATACGTACATTTTCATGTCACCGGATCCAGTGAGGATATGCGTATCATCAAGGAATCGGCAGCTACTGAGAAATCCTTCATAGCCTGCCAGCTCCCGGACCATCTTGGCCGAGCCAGTCGCATCTCGGTTGTTTACATCATATACGGTGCACATGTTATCCATACCACCACAGGCTACAAAGTTGCCTGAAGGTGCAAAGGCAACACTCATCACCCACGCCGATCGTAATGGTATGACCTGCACTTTGTTACCACTCCACGTATCCCATATTATCAGCTTGCCATCTAGTGAACCCGTCACGCAGTGCCTTTAAACATGCTTGAAGTTTTAGTAAGCAGGCTTTAATGAAATTATTTGTATTCAAAGATTATTTTTACTTATACTAATACATAAAACGACTAATGAGAACTAAACCTTTTGTGTTATAAAACCTAGTGTAGATAATAACTAACGAACATCGTGTCTGTTTATAATAGAACACTAAGACTGTTGATGAACATTAGTTTTATTATTACTTTAGTTTAAGCTATTTACTAGTATTGTAGAAAATTATGTCAACATAATATTACTTATTAGCCATAATTATTGTATAGGCTAGATTGTAATTCATGTAAAGTCGCACTCTTTTTTGTGAACTTTATGATTAATAAAAAAACTTATACTAATAGATAAACATAAGTCAATTAATGCGGTTTATGTAATCGGTTTTTTGAGATTGAACGATGTGGTGGTGGTGTTTGCAGTATACCTGGAATCTCCAGAATAGTGAACAGAGTTAACTTTGTTAATATGCCCCTTCAGAGTCTTCTTGACAATGAAACGGATCTTTTGAACATCTCCAAGATCTCCACACTTCTCTGCCAACTTCGCATCCGCCGCTTTTTCTTGCTCCGCCTGCAAGTATGTTTATATGACGAATAACTTTGTTTTTATTGAGTAGAATAGAAGATGTTCTGTCTTATTTAGTATGTGCTTTGGGGAAGCCGAAGAGACTTACAAATTGCCCTTCAATATTAAATAGACATTTATCTTAAAAAATACACTAAGTAGCTAACTTTGGTTATAAAAATGTAACTGAGCTTCATTACACAGTATTAAAATGACATGCACTCTCAATATCATCGCACAATTAAGAAGAGTTTACGCATTTTATCAATCTTTCAACTAATAGTCCAGACATAAAATGTTTACCTTTGACTTCGCTATGAGGTCGTTAAGCTCTTTCTTCAGAGCCGTGGTCTCTGCGTCGTCCTTTGGCATGGCTGTTGTGTATGTCGGTTTGCGTCCAGCTCTGGACTGATCGACCCGGGCGCTCGTGCAACATTAATTCTGTTAGTTTAATTGTATTAGTTGAAGCACTACAAGGCCCTCAGTTATCGATGCGTGATTTTGCTTGAAATAATTATGGGATAGAAATGTCATAAAAGATATGGTACATGCTCATGAAGCAGACACGTGCAGTAATACTTTTTTATTTGAAATCTTAGAGATCGTCTCTAAGAAACGCACTTCACCATGAAACATTTTATTTCACAAGACAAATATTATTGTCAAAACGCAGTTAAGTTTGATTATTAGGTTCAAAAGCGGTGTAATTGAATTAGATCGGGTAAAAAGAAAGCCTTGTTGACTATGAATTAGTTTTATGGTAGTAAAAAAATTAGTAAAAATAAAGATGTGTTATTTCGTTATAAGTAGGTATGCATAGAAATTTTAGATATGGGGACGCTATCATTATATATCTTGTATTTAATGTGAAAAAATTAAATATCTTGTATTTGAAAATAATATAATAATTAAATAGTATAAAACTTACATGACTGATCTCTGGAAGAGGCAGAGTACGTCTACATATAGCCTCCATCGCGTTCGGTGTTGAGCTTCCCATTTTACCACGTTCCAAGTCTGGCGGAAGCCAGCTTGTTCTTAAGAAGTTAAGAACCAATTTTTCTCTCTTGCTCTAGCTGCTTTGTCACGTGTAGGTAGTTCAACATAGATGACAAGTGCCCAAGCGGTCTTGTGGACAATCAGGTGAGGACAAGGCTGTGGACGAAAGTATTTCACAAATCCCGACTTCCCACTCCAGATAACTATCTGTTTATTTTCATTATAGCCTTTAGTTACTTAATAGCGATAAAATAACGTTATTTTAAATTATCAAGAGAATGTCTGTCTAACATTGGGAAAACAACTTAGAACCTCCTTGTGAAATTGCAAGGTGCGTAATGCGTAAATGCATAGAAAGAAGGCGGTTAACGAAATTTAATAACAATATTTATTAAAAATTCAAAATTAGAAATTAAAACAAATTTAAAAAGTTTGGTCCCTTTGGCAGTGTACCTTTAACACTAGCACCATTTCCTCGCTGTATGTATTTATTCGTTGAGCGAGGACAGCACCAGCCAATTTATCTTTAATTAAATAAATCCAGATTATAATCTATATTCTTAAATATTTATTTAGGTTATACCAGTCCATTGTTTTAGTTTTAGTAGTGTTGATGACAATGAGTATATATACGAGAGAAGAGTAACCGTTTTAATGAACACCTTCACGATTAATAAGTTGAACCCGGATCTAAATGATTGATCAGCATCAAAGACTGAAAGACGGTCAAACTTTTAAAATGCCAGCAAAAAATTCGATCGACTTTCCTTTTGATAGTTGAGTTACTTTCTGTAATTTCACGGTAAATTTAATTCGGTCCAATGGACACGATTAGGTTTCGTCCACGATACATCTTCTTTACATTTTAAAAACCGAGATATATAAATATATATTTGGCTGGCTGTAAATGCGAATGTTCCCAAGGTACAGGAAACGAAAAAGAGGAAGTCAACTTAGAAGGTGAATAGACCAAATTAAAGAAATAGCAGGTGGTACATGGCAGAGAGGAATGGCGGATGTGGAAAAGGTCTTTGCCAAACCGAGCACACAGACATCTAAAAGAAGATTGAATCAGAAACATGTTTAAATGTAAAAGTATCTGAAATAAAAAGCTATAATTATTATAAATGCGAATGTAGACAACATTTTTGCATTTCTACTGCATTTACCATGGAGAATGTTCAGAGGAGTTCTTCTGCAGCTGAGTTTCATCAGACGTCAAGGGAGAATACAGAATACCATCCGTATCACTTCAACGTCCGTCATTCCACAGCTAAGCGTTTCTTGAGTCAGTTTTTGGCGCGCACCACCCCATTGGCGTAGCAGCTGCCCATTTAAATATTTTGGAACCAATTCAACATAGGGTCCTTCATGAAAAGAGCGTACCTATTCTCAAAAGGCTGGCAACGCACTTGCGAGCCTTCTGGCAATGTGAGTGTTCATGGGTATCATAAAAAGAAAGTGAGATAATTTCCTATGTAATGTGGTTCATATATTGTATTAATGAGAAATTCCATCCAAAATAAAGTAAGACAATTTCAGCATTTCCCAAGTCCGTCATTGTTAAATAATAGTCTAGTCGACAAGTTGAAAATGGAACAAAATAGAGATACTGCTCTTAAAATTATGTGCGATAGCTCATTCGAACCGGAATGACGCCTAGAAAAATGTGCTAAAAGCGTGTATTAGCACATAAAAAATTGCAAAAGTTATAGACCATTAAAGATGAAAAAAAAATGGAATTTAGTTTTTTGCCAATATTTAATAAACTATTAATATTTAAGAAATTTCAAATAAAGATTCTGAAAGAGGAGGAAATTTCCAATAAAAAACTCTCAGCTCCCGGAACTCTATCTCCATTATTTATAACTTTAATTTAACGCTGAAAATAGGTCTGTGCGTGACATTTTTAGGATTCGCGCGTGGCGTCAAAAGCGACTACGGCACATTAATTAATTTATTTAAGGTATTGAATATTTTTTTTTAAATTTGAAAAAATTATGGTGTGTTCTGAACACTATAATTAATTTATTCCCGTTGGAAATTTTACTTAAAGTTAATTTTTCAACAAGTTAAATAATTGTTAACTAACGAAATTTTCTCGAACGACCGTCTTAATTGTAAGTGAAAAAAAATGTTTTAATAATGGTCGTAAAAATATTTCGCTTCGTAGAGCCTTTCTTACATACATACTTAACAAGATCGTGCCATAAAAGTTAAAGAAATATTTATACTTTGTTTATAACAATTTTTTTACTTAAACAAAAACTTAAAAATCCAAGTAATGTTGTTAAAAAATTTTTTTTTTTTCTAAATCATCAAATTATCGTTTTTATATTAATACAAGATATTTATTGATTTGCAAAAAAAAAATTTCCCGCCATTTGTTAATAATTTTTTTTTAAACAAATTGATTAAATCAATTGTTTTAAAAAAAAAAATTTCACAACTTTATTACATTACAAATATTATGATTGTTTAAAAAAAAAAATTTCCTTAATAACATATTTTAATTGTTTATAATCGTTTTTTTTATATTTCTTTTGTTTAAATAATTAGTTAAGAAATTTTTTTTTTCTAAAAATCATAATTGACAGTCCTCTATAAAGTAACAAAAAATTTTTTTTTTTTAATCAACAATTCTATTGTTTATTAACTTACCAATTTGTTATAAACAAATGTTCAACTTTTTTATATTTTTTTTCTAAAACTTCTAAAATTAACAAAAACAACCATATATAACAAAATATAGAAAAACATTTTTTTAAATTTTTTGATTATCATGAATATTACTTTTATTAAAAAAATTTTTTTTTTTTTTTATAGACTTTGTTATATATGTTTGTTTTTGTTAATTTTAGAAGTTTTAGAAAAAAAATATAAAAAAGTTGAACATTTGTTTATAACAAATTGGTAAGTTAATAAACAATAGAATTGTTGATTAAAAAAAAAAAATTTTTGTTACTTTATAGAGGACTGTCAATTATGATTTTTAGAAAAAAAAAATTTCTTAACTAATTATTTAAACAATAGAAATATAAAAAAAACGATTATAAACAATTAAAATATGTTATTAAGGAAATTTTTTTTTTAAACAATCATAATATTTGTAATGTAATAAAGTTGTGAATTTTTTTTTTTTAAAACAATTGATTTAATCAATTTGTTTAAAAAAAAATTATCAACAAATGGCGGGAAATTTTTTTTTTGCAAATCAATAAATATCTTGTATTAATATAAAAACGATAATTTGATGATTTAGAAAAAAAAAAAATTTTTTAACAACATTACTTGGATTTTTAAGTTTTTGTTTAAGTAAAAAAATTGTTATAAACAAAGTATAAATATTTCTTTAACTTTTATGGCACGATCTTGTTAAGTATGTATGTAAGAAAGGCTCTACGAAGCGAAATATTTTTACGACCATTATTAAAACATTTTTTTTCACTTACAATTAAGACGGTCGTTCGAGAAAATTTCGTTAGTTAACAATTATTTAACTTGTTGAAAAATTAACTTTAAGTAAAATTTCCAACGGGAATAAATTAATTATAGTGTTCAGAACACACCATAATTTTTTCAAATTTAAAAAAAAATATTCAATACCTTAAATAAATTAATTAATGTGCCGTAGTCGCTTTTGACGCCACGCGCGAATCCTAAAAATGTCACGCACAGACCTATTTTCAGCGTTAAATTAAAGTTATAAATAATGGAGATAGAGTTCCGGGAGCTGAGAGTTTTTTATTGGAAATTTCCTCCTCTTTCAGAATCTTTATTTGAAATTTCTTAAATATTAATAGTTTATTAAATATTGGCAAAAAACTAAATTCCATTTTTTTTTTCATCTTTAATGGTCTATAACTTTTGCAATTTTTTATGTGCTAATACACGCTTTTAGCACATTTTTCTAGGCGTCATTCCGGTTCGAATGAGCTATCGCACATAATTTTAAGAGCAGTATCTCTATTTTGTTCCATTTTCAACTTGTCGACTAGACTATAATAGACGGATACAATTTTAAGGAATTCTGACAATTATATAATATATGCTATATAAAATTCTCGTGTCACAAAGTTCGTACTCATACTCCTCCGAAACGGCTCAACCGATTCTTGTGAAATTTTATGTTTATTCAGTAAGTCTAAGAATCGGCTACTATCTTTCTTTCAAACTCCAAAATGTTAGTTGTGGTTCACCCCTAAATTTCTATTTTTAGAAAAAAATACATATAACCCTTAATTTTCACCCCTCTACGATCAACCCCTATTTTTTATTATAGAAGATAGTTATTTTTACTGAACTAATAAAATGTTTTCTAGAAATAATATACATGGCGAAACAAACGTTTGCCGGGTCAGCTAGTGTGATATAAAATATTTAAAAACTCTAGACTAGAGCCTCAAATCTAGAAGTATTCAAATTCAAAAATCATTTAATCATATAAGTAACACATTGTACACTTATGACTTGTCAGTAAAGAAATACATGTTAATACTTCTAATTTTAAGTAAGCATTGAGCATCGGGCAATGTCATTAAAGTATATTTAATGTAGGTGTATAGATAGATTGATTGTTTTTATAGAAAAGGGAGCAAACGTCAATAGGCTCATCTGTTGTTATACCGCCCATTGACACTCAATGGTGGCAGTATCAACTCAAATTTAATGTTACTAAATTTAATTTTTTTGCCATTACTCATATCAACTTAGAAGACTTACCAACAATTTATTCGCCACTCCGTTCAGTCGCCAAGATTTAAAGTTTACAAAAGATTTCACGAGTTGCAAGAATTAGATTAGCTCATGAGATTTCGAGTCGATTATAATAATAATAAGAAAAAAACAAATAAAAACGCCTCATAAAAACAAATCCAAAATTTAAATTGTTCGCTTAATCCAAACGACCATTTTGATCACAGCTTTACTATACGAATTTGCGTTGGACCCAGTACAACAATGACCATTTCGAGACCACTTACCTTCCAACATGCGTATCAGCTACTCGCTGCTGGTGGTGCTGCTTGTGGCATCTGGTGCTGCTAAACAATGCGCTGAACGACGGGAGACTTGTGACAGATTCGCTATTTATTCAGGTGAGTTTTATTAAAATCATGAAGAGCAGGCGGAGATTAAATGTTCGATTTGGAGTAGTGACTGGGTCATAGGGTGCAAGTGCCACGCGCTAATCACAGATTTAAGTAGGTAGACGCCCACTGGCGCTTTTCCAATAAATAAAAATTATACATTATAAATTTATTTTAGTCTTTGATATCTATTCTTGTAATTAATAGCTGAAATAACTTTTGCTAACGTTTTTTGATGTGGTTATTACTCTATATTTTTTCTTTAAGTTGGTTGGGCAGGTAGAGACAGCAGCTTAAAAAGTATATCTTTTTATTTTTATTGCTATATATCTTATTTGTTACTATATTTATGGTAGAGTCAAAACTACGTTGAAGTTTTTACTTGCTTTATACAACTCATAGTTTTCCCATCCCCCGTACCTTCTACAAGTACCTTTAATACTAGTTCTTGGCATAGTCTATTTAATTTGGAATATCACATTCGGCTATTAATACTTTATCAGACCAACACAGTTTGGTAACACCAAATTCTTAAATTATTAATGTCTTCAATATAATTAAATTATTTAATTATATTTACAGTCACCCAAAAAAAGGATAGATTACTTTATTCACTTCTATGCTTGTGCTCGTGCTTTTACTATTGATTTCCTCATATTGTTAGCATATGTAACCATTTTGTTTTTGTTGCGATCACGAAATTACTTTAGATTTGTAAAAAAATTCAGTTCAGAAAGTGGCCTACTTGCTTATAAAATGATCAATGAACCCAATGAAAAGCTAAAAATTAGCACATCACATCTCTGTGTAGTTTATGGCCTGAATATAACATTTAATCAATGTTTTTAAATATATCTAGTTCAGTTGTGACTACTATTAATCTAACTCTAAAATATTAGAAGTTATAGATGTTGCGTTTGTCTTGGATAAAAACGTACATTAGTTAATATGTAGTTACATTCAAACGTACGGAATAGTTTTGGAAAAAAGCTTATTATTAAAAGACAATATACAAATACGACTGTGATAATTATAACTTATTTATATGTATATATTTAATTTATATATTTAATTATAATTATTAGAATTAAAACAAGATGCTTCTCTCTTGATTCCAATAATTTACGGACTGACTGATGAACTGATGTTTAAAAGACTATTTTTAATTACTAATTAAATGTGCGTATATAGAGGAAATGTTTTAATTATTTCAATCATGGCTACTATAAAATATAATCTATCAACAGATTATAGTTGGTTTTCAGTTGACATAGGCAGAAAACTTTAGTGACAATTGTATTTAATAAACGTCAAATGGTACATTTAAAGCCTTTCAAATATGACAGTTGTCAGTTGCTACTGTAGTTCGTCAATGACGTTTTAATTTAATAAAGCTTTCGTTTTGGCTTTCATAAATCAAAATTTATATTATATCGAAAAGTTTTCGGCAAGGTATAATAAGATCTATTAGTATTATTTATTATATACTAATTAAATGCGAATTTGGTGTAGAAATTCTTTATTCTAAATTAATCAGCAATGAAGTGCTAATTAATTACAAAAATGCAAATGTATATAACCTATAATAATAATATACATTTAATTCTATAAAATTTTAGCGTGTTATTAATTACACGATTTTCTCACACGATAAAGCATAAACAATTTTAAGGCACTGTGAATCAGTTTTTAGTTTATTCATAATATCATAACATAACAATTTGCCGGGTCGTTGTTATGAGATAATATGGGGCTTGTGAGCTTGCTCTACGTGTAGGCATGTCGCGCTTATTACGGATTTTAATATGAACTATTGTGTGAAGTTATTACTTCGTGCGCCAATCGCAAGCTTCAACGATCCAAAGCTTATCGGGTCGGAAGTGTTTTACGATCATTGAGCTCCAGTTTGAATGCGTTGAAGCTATTCGCGTCAGTTCGACGATCTCATAACGCGTCCGTGTTTCAACATGCGTTGGCCACTCTTCTTGTGCCTGGCATGCTTGCTTTCACCTACAATTTGTGCTTCAGACTCAGGTAAGTAATATTAACATGATTGTTTACCCTTACTGTTTCATATAGAATCTATACACATCCAGAATGTTCTCCGGAAACTCTGCATCTCTATTTAACTCCTTTTTATGTTGTAATATGCTTTAGTTTCAGTTTTTCTAGTATTTCATCATATTTTTTTAAAATTATTTTTATATAAATCATATTTTCTACTTTATCAGCCTAGTTTTAAATATGCAATCATTGACCCATCATTTAAAATGATATCACTTCAATTTATTTCAATTAAATCATGGCGTGTACATTGGGTGAAATAAACAGTTCATCAACCAGTACCAATAAAAGATAGACCCATTTTAAATTATATCCATGCAAGTCAATTGTGCAACAATAAAATAATATAATGCTTAACCGTTCACATGTGTTCTATTAATGGGGCTATTGAATGTATATAGCATTATATTCCTGTGCTCCAATCCTAAATGTATAATATCCTTGTGACTGTTTGTTAGTTATTTCTTGTAAATGTTTAATGTCTTAGGTGAATAATGAGCTCACATGAAAGATGGGAACCTTAAAACCAAATATATACCTAATAATAACTGTGAGTTTGTTACTGACAAATACTTGCTAAATTATTCGTGGGAAAAAAGAAAAAAGCTCAAATTTTTAAATATTTATTATGTATCACTACATTCTGCGTACATATAGTAGTATACAGAGCTCTGTTTATTTAAAACATGACTCATAAAATGTTATAGCATGTTTGACTTTATGATGCAATCTGGCTACTGAGAAATTTTGTTAAATCAATTAAAATTGTAGTACATGAGATGTTATTATGTTCATTGGAAACAGAGTTCATTCAACTTTGACAATCAACTATTGGGTTTATAACATTACTTCATATGATTATTATATTTTGAACTTTTGCTAAAATCTATGTGATACTCGAAATATGTACAGGATTAAGTACACAAAAATGAATACATATGAGTATTAATTGACTTTAGGAACAATATCTGTAGTTTGGTATATTACTTACTGTATTTTCTTTCAAAAGCGTCATATGTTTGATTATTATTTTAATATCTTGTTTAATCATTCATGAAATTGACTGTTTCAAGCGAATTTTGCGAATACTATCAGTTGTACTGGTCATGTAGCGAAGATAAAAATCAGCGTAACATTTTTGGCATTAAGGCGCGTTATGTGCATATTAAAAAAATATATAGTAATGATCAGGTATCGAAAAATTTGCAAAGGCATACAGTGACTAACTAAAAAGCTGAGCGGCAAGTTTTTTTTAAAATTAAATTTAATATTGTTTTTCCTTTTCTCTAATTGTAATATGGATACATAGACTTAAAGTCTTCTAAATCAGGGAAGGCTCAATAAATGATTTATCATTATTTCTTCTCAACTCTATATTTTTACAGATGACCAAACGGAAAATCCTGATGTGGTAGTGGTGACAGTGGGTACAGAGGATACCCATGGGTTGCAGAGATTTGAAAGATCAGCACGTATCTACGGCCTTCATGTGGAAGTACTAGGAAGAGGGACGGCATGGCGTGGAGGTGATATGAAGAGACCCGGTGGGGGTCACAAAGTCAACTTACTGCGGGATTGGATCAACCAGGCCTATGATAACCTGGATAGTGACACCCTAGTAATCTTCACTGACAGGTAATTAAAAATATTTGGAAAATACCCTTTTGTTGAAAAAGGGTATTTTCTAAACAAAATAATGTTTTTTTTGAAGTTATACTTCTTTAGGCGCGTTATGAAAAATTTATGAGAGTGAAATTTTACAATGCGCGCGCACCCGTGACACAAAATTAGGAGTGTGATTATAGCGTGCGCGAGCGAGATAGGAATAAGAAAATCTACAAGTAAAAAGAAATAGAATATGCGTGAAGTTCGTATGCCAACAATTTTGAATGACCATAATGACATTTGTCATTTACCTTTTAAACAAATAAAGGAGTTTTAATTATTTTTTCAAAGAAATTTAGCGATGCTTTTTGAATTATAATCAGAAGTGATTTAAATTGAATATTTAAACCAATACTAATTAATATTTGTGAAAAAACTGTGCTCATCAACCTTCCTAAGTGCTTCAATACAATTGAGGTTAACTATCCGTATGTATTATTATTATTATCGAGTAATGTTTTGATTAAAAAATTAACCACATTGTTTAATCAAAACATGTAATTTTTCTGATTTTATCTAGCAAATATAAGGAAAAGAGACAAAAAACAATTGATGAATCAGTGTAACTGCACTAAATTGAATACAAAAAAAAGAGTTTTCATCTTATCGCTGTGAAACATCAAAAACTGGAGGTGGAACAAAGCCAAACTATTTTTAATATTGCCAAAGAAGTATAACTTCTTACGCGCGTACATAAGTACACGGACCCTTTTTTTATTATAATAGGGGGGCAAACGAGCTTGCGGGACGACCAAAAAGGGCAGTCTACGCAGCCCATATACACCCACTAAATATATCTAAGTACCCTAAGTATACCGAGGAAAAAACAAAATCAATATCGCTAACTCTTTAAATCAGGCAAGTGAAGTCGCGGCTGAGCTAGTGTAGTCAAAGTAGTAACTATGTCTTCGATATTTTATATAGGTTTCGAATTTCTCCTGTCAGCATCTCAAGTACTTTTAAAATTACACAAACCCAAGCAGTTCAAGCATTGTTCTACATAGGTAAAATATTTGATTCACGGCGACTTTTACGTTGAACTAATTAAAAACGAACATGCAAAAACTATAAGTGTACATTTAATTCAAGAGTATCTTAATATTTTTTTTTTCTCGTTAGAGTCAATGACACAACATTTAATAGGAACAACATTAATTTCTATAGAAGTATATCTATATACTTTTTATTTGTTATGCCCAACGGACTTTATCTAAAGGTTATCTCTTTGTGCGGACGCAGTCCAATTTTTGTTACTTTAATGTTCATAATTATTTCTGATTATTTTTAATTGTTTTCTCATAACGAATTATAATAGCGCGGAATATTTTTTTTCTAGTTATGGTTAATATAAACGTTGTAACCATTGAATGATTTTATATTATACTTAACTAAGAGCATTAAAATAATATTAAATGATTTATTAGTTTTAACGCGTAGGGAAAATTCAGTGCCCTGCGTACAGAAGAATTATTAGAAGGGATTTATGCCTAAGATCTATTAATAGGCCATTCTCATGTTAAATTATATACTGAGTACAGACCTCCTTCAATAGCCCTCGAATAGATATTTAGTGTTTGTCTTTATCACTCACGTATCTATAATATAAATGACATACAAAACATTCTTACACTAATTGAGGCTCATTATAAAAATATAATAAGTTGAACACGAATAATTTATAATGTAAACAAAATTAACATGAGATCAATCTAGAAATTTTTAATTACTAAGTCAGGTTTTAACTTAAGTAAATTAACCCCTTAGTCTGTTTAATCTGTGGCGCTACAACCTCTTTAGGTCTGGGCCTCAGATTTCTGAATCTGTTTCACGATAATTTTTCAATCTAATAGGTAAGTAGGTGATCAGCGTCCTGACACACGCCGTCGACTTTTTGGGTCTAAGGCAAGCCGGTTTCCTCACGATGTTTTCCTTCATCGTTCGATCGAATGTTAAATGCGCACAAAGAAAGAAAGTCCATTGGTGCACAGCCGGGGATCGAACCTACGAGCTCAGGGATGATAGTCGCACGCTGAAGCCACTAGACCAACACTGTTCAATTGTAGTCAGTTTAATAAGGTGTTTTTTTTTAATGGCCCAACAGTTTCTCTTAACGCATCTGACTTGAATTCTTTTATATTTCAGTTACGACGTGATACTTCTTGGTGGCGCTGACGAGTTAAGGGAACGGTTTCTTGCGGCACGTCACAGGATTATATTCGCCGCGGAACCATTCTGTTGGCCCGACGCCGGCCTCGCAGCTCGCTACCCCCCACCGGACACTTCAACGCCCAGCCCTTACTTAAACTCTGGCGGGTTTATCGGACGTCTTGAAGATTTAAGGCGGTTGATTCGAGCTGCGGATATAGACGACAATGCGGATGACCAGTTACATTACACACGACTCTATTTGGATCCTAAAGTTCGAGCTGATTTGGACATCGTGTTAGACCATAATGCTACAATATTCCAGACGCTTAATGGCGCTCTATGTAAGTGATTCTTATCGAAAAATACTTATTTTTTTACGTATTAGGAGGCTCACCTGATGTTAAGTGATACCGCCGCCCATGGACACTCACATTGTCAGAAGGCTCGTAAGTGCGTTGCCGGCGTTTTAAGAATTAAGACCCTTAGTCGAATGGGTAGTAAATTCGTAGTATTTGTCTTGTAATTTTTGTTTTGCTATGTTCTAATTGATGTATTTAAAAACACATACTATTTTAAGAAATAGCTACCAAATCGAGGTGCTTATGAATTAAGTGTAAGATTCTCAGTCGAGTTAAAGCGGTAAGTATAACTCCCATGCTCCAATATTATATACAGGGGAAGTTCTTTAAAAGCACTTATGAAATTCCCTAAAGAACTTTGTCCCAAACTAATTAGGGGCTTCTGGAAAGTAATTAGTGCACCTACTTTCAATTCATTTGCATGCTAGATAATTTCTCCTGATCCGCAGACACGCGCGCGTCTTACTAAGCTGTTCACCAACATATCATATATAAATAACAATCAGATTAATTGCCCCCAATCTTTCAACTAATTTTAAATTTCGTGTACCCTCTAGATACCGCAGGCATCCCATTTGTCCCTCAGATGAACGCGTGCTTGTCACATTAAATATTGTATTTTGTTTTTCTTCTACAGTCTACTAATGTATCAGTGTGCCAAGAGTTGGCAAGCTTTTATAAGTAAATAAAAGGGACTTATCGCTAAGTAAAAAATTCTGTCCTTACTTCATTCAACATTGTAAATAAATGTAATTTTTGACGTTATACTTCTTATGGCGCGTTATGGAAAAATGATGAGAGTAAATTTTTACGATGCGCGCGCACACCGTCACAAAAAACCGACACCCTCAAGTTAACATAGTCAACATTTTAAAATAAAAAATGTCCATTTGTTTAATTATGTAGAAATATTTTTTTTGTTATATTTAAATAAACGTTATTTAACTAGATAGTAAAACTTTTTATGTATTAAATAGGTACCTTTTTTCTATTGTTAGTGTTGTTTTTTCTACAAACGTACAATGAATTCAATCTTAAAGAATACAATTTTTCAAGATGATTGTTATCTTGTTCGCTAAAGAAGTATAACTTCTAAGTACACACATGTTTTTTATTTAATAATAAAATAGTTATTTTAACGGTATTTAATAAACTTATTATATAGATATCATAATTTTTAACAAAATATTTATTTATATTTATCCAGCGGACGTAAAGCTCCACAGTTCGGACGAAGGTTGGGCCTGGCTAGAAAACGTTGTGAGTGGTACTCGACCGTTGATTTTACACGGCAATGGGCCCGCTAAGCTGGAATTGAATGCCTTGAGCAATTACTTACCACGTGTAAGAACACCAGACAGGTGCCACATCTGTGAAGAGTTGAAAAAGCCCCTAAAAGATGAACCACGAGTGCTTTTGGCGGTATTCATTGAGCAGCCGACGCCATTTTTGGACGAATTTCTGCAGAGTATACAGGATATTGACTATCCTAAGGTGCGTTATGAATATTCGCTTCTCATTTCTGTAATTTTATCATTCATTTTGAACGATTTCCGTTCATTTGCTAAGATGGTGGTACAATTAGATAGATTCATTACACATAATCAGCCATATGTAAATGGCATGCAAATTTCATATTAATTTTTATAATATCACATAACAAGAATATTAACATAATGTCATAATAATAAGTTAAGTTATTTAGAATTGGTGTCAAACTTATAAATTGGGATTAAAATAAACCTTTAAATTACTTATAATAACTTAAAATTGGGTCTAAATACTTTTGGCTTTTTAGGCAAGTAGGTATTATTGTCTGGTATATATATAATAATTATTCCAGCAGAAAGACACCATCCTGGGGTGTTCGTTCGAATCATGGTCGTGAACCTATGGACTTTTCTTTTGAGATTTTACCATCCGTCGTCCGTTTACTAAAAACATCGTGAGGAGCAAAGGGCACGCTAGAGACTTATAAGGCCATGTTCTGATGGCAAAAAATTGACGCGCGTTTTCAAATCACGCGACTAGACACTGGTATTTTCATACAACTGTTCACATGAACGCACGTTAACGCGCGTCAGCGAGCGTTAACGCGGCGCACAGAGATAAAGTCTCTAGACGCAGGTGATCGCGCGTTGCCTGGTGCTTTGCCATGTATGTAACGTCCGTAGACTGTTCAGTTGGGCGCGCGCTTTCTTCGCGATTGTACGTTTTTTTTTGTGACTAGCTTTCGTTTTCAGTTCAAAATGAGTGAATCTCAAGATATTTAAATCGATTTACTAATTGATGAAGTCCGGAAAATACCAGCGATTTGGGATATAGCTTCAGAATCATATAAAAATAAAAATTCAAAACGACGTGCTTGGGAAGAATTGGTTTTAATTTTCTGTAATGATAACGAATCTCAAGAAGACTTTTTTGTAATATAACCACAAAATAATAGCTTCTTCCACGTCCATTTTTAAAGCTCTATCGAACAGACTAACGAGCTCTCACAAGTCGCAACGCGCGTTAGCGCTTGTCATCTGAATTCTTTATAACTTTGATCGCGCGTTGACCTGCGGTAACGTGCGTTACATGTGAACTTAGCCTAAATCAACGGCGTGTGTTCGACACAAAAGGCTGATCACATACTTGCCTATTACGCTAACGAAACACAAATCTGACCCACCGGTTTCAGTGGCTAACGCCCTATAATTTAATTTGACTTCCATTTATTAAATTAATATACATCTTTCAGGACAAATTGGAGCTACTTGTACGAAACAACGTGGAATACCATGAAACGACAGTGGATGCTTGGTTTTCGCGGGTATCTGGCCAATACGCGAGCAGAAAGCGGCTCCGGCCGGCCGATCAGTTGCCGGAACATACGGCCCGGATGATAGTACTCGAACGTGCGACTGCCGGAGCCAGTTCCTATGTGTTTAGCGTGGATTCTGTCGCACGAGTTACCCCTAATACGTTGAGGAGCTTGTTGGAAAGTGGCGTTGATGTGGTGGCCCCGTTTTTGTCCCGCCCCGGCGAAGCTTGGTCCAACTTTTGGGGTGCGTTGTCCCCGGATGGGTACTACGCGCGAGCGCATGATTATATGGACATCGTTAGTGGTAAACTAAGGTCAGTAACTAGTTTAGTTAATATAATATTATTTTAACAAATGCAGAAACAAATAGTCAAAGATTTTTTGGTATATGGCAATTGATAAATAATAAGACAAAAGTTGTAGTTGGAACATTTTTATCGTATGATAAAACATTTTCAATCAAAGATTTTTTTAATAGCAAATTGTTTGAAGTTTGCTTGAGTTGATAGAGCTTGAGTTTTTAGGCATCAGGACCTATCCTGTAGGAATAGGAAAGGAAACGTCTAAAATAACAAAACCGTTATATTGAAATTAATATGAGAGGAAATTTGTCAGTACAGCTTCCGCGTCTGGCTGCAGGCTCCGCCCACCGCACTCGCGTGTCGTTATACGTAGCGGTAAAATTACCGACGCGGTGGAAAAAAGTGTTATTATTTTATTTTGGTCTATTTGCACTGTTTTACTTAAAACAATGTTTCGTCTCTTTCTGTCAAAGTATCTTTACGGCGTGAGACATATAGTTAAAAGACAGGATTTAGAGTCATATGAATGATAAATTAGCCAAGACTTATATTGCATCCTGTTTTTAAATCATGAAATATTTTATAAGAAAAAGCTATATGAGTGACAAACTTAAAGCTCTATAGTACTAAATCTTTCTATAGAAGAATAATAACCAGCACGCGTTCCGTTGTCCTTCTTAGTGAAGAATTTCCTATTTCAATTTCTACATTTATTTATTTATTTTCTATACTACTACTAGAAGACGCTTGTCTCGCTAAAACTCGAGAATTGCTAGACTGATTTGGCTACTTATAATATTATGATAACTTGGTTGTCATATATTGATAGAGCCTTCAAAATAAAATAAAATATCGGAAAAGAGGATATTTCTGTGCTTTTCACCTGCGTATCGCGACAGAATGCGTTTTGATCGATCCCCATTTTTTTTAAATAATTTCCTGTATAAAGACGATGAGCACCGAGCTTCAGGTCTTGTTTTATACGCGACAAAGTCCTAGCGGGAATCTTCATTTCTCGCGATAAGAATTTTTGCTTCCTATTATGGTTTCGACGAATTCTGGCTTTAACAGAATTAACAGCCTAGTGAATTCTAACAGCATGTGACCGCCCAGATCTTTGTGTTGTTGTATCTGTTGATAGTACGATATACGAACTTACTGTTGATACCAAGCTTTTATAGTATCTGGAATATGACCGAAGGCTCCATACCCACTTTATGCAAGGCGATCACTGCCATCCTATTTTCTTTAACACGAAAATATTATTTATTTTAAATGTGTATATATTTTGTAACTTTTTCAAGTAATCAATGAGGCTTAGTTATTATTATTATTAATGAACACGAAATATTAAATGTAATGGCGCAAGAGAAGTTTTTAAAATAATATACGTGTTCCATTCAAAATAATTACAAAGTTAAAAAAAATAAGTTTTTATGCAACAGTATTTATGGCCAGACTATTTATATTTGATTTTGTGGGCTTACTACATCGTCTTCGATTACTCATGTATAATTTAATAACTAATTTTTAAAAATTAACTTAATTATGCCCCTTCTACGTCTTTTTTATATTATGATACCCAATTAAAAGCATTTTCTTCTGTCCGTTTCTTCTTCTGACCAGTGAAGCAATTTCACTGGAGGCAGCACACTTCTCAAATTATACCTTCTATTTCTTTTTATACTGTGTTTGTGATGTGTGTGTTACATTGAATAAATAAATAATGTAATATTAAAAAACGGTGTATTGTATAAATTCTTTTTTCTAAATCTCACCTACATTAGAAATGAAACAACTTGTCACCAAAATATAAAGTATTAATCGAAGGCAATAGAAAAGTCTGTTTTAAACGACCGACGATCAATGGAATACATATTATCTGCGGTACATTCATAGACTCCTGCGTCCATTTGAGTAGCTGGATCTATCTCCAGCTTGGACTTCACTTTCTCGTTACCTATCAGCCATTCGTGAATCTGTAAATATCTGTCAGTACAAACACCCTGAATGTAGGAGCAACATTTATTGTAGAAATTTAAAGAAACCTTTTTCGGCCTAGTAACTTCAGCAATTCTCATCCATGAGGTCGTAGGTTCGATCTCCGGTTGTGCACCAATGGACTTTCTTTCTATGTGCGCATTAAACATTCGCTCGAACGGTGAAGGAAAACATCGTGAGGAAACCGGCTTGCCTTAGACCCAAAAAGTCTACAGCGTGTGTCAGGCACAGGAGGCTGATCACCTACTTGCCTATTAGATTTAAAATGATCATGAAACAGATAAAGTAAACTGAGAAAAATTGCGCTGCGCAATATTCGAACGCTCCCTTAAATTGGTACTTAAGTGAAAACGGGGCAATAAGACGATTTATTATTTATAATAAGATACAATTTTAAGTAATCTATAATGAATTAATGCTTACGTGTAAATTGTGGTGCGCGAGTATCTCGACTCCATCCTTGAACCACGTTACTTGGGGTCGTGGTTTCCCCTTTGCAGTGCATAAAAAGGCAATTTTGTGGCCCAGAACGTATTCAAAATCAAAGTGAGAAGCCAATACAATCTTTGCACCCTGTCCAACAACGATATTATTAAATGCCTGTACATTATTATTACAAAGAGAAATTGTTTCAGTTTATTAGTACTAAGTTAAATATAAAAAATATGAGGATTTTTCCGTTGGTAAAAAGAATATTATTTTAGTCCTAACTAGACCAAATGTCTAAAATCTCTATATCTATTGGATAGATTAAATTCGCCACAAAATGTAAATTGATTTGCATTATATACTTACATCCTCGCTATTGTAGTATTGGTCGGATTCGGGGTCTCGGTACTTGCCAGTGATTGGTAGACCGATTTGTACCTGCGCAGTGTCATATTTATTTAAATTATATTATGAAAAGTTACATATAACAAAAATTCGCTTCCGCTTTTGAAATACTTTGAAATGTTATAAAAATATATGCCTCGTGACTTGAACCTTTTAAAAAACAAATGTTAACACACGCTTGTTTGGTGCAAATTGCAAGATATTGGTAGCTTCAATCGTATCTAAGTTTAAATACCTTAGACTTATTTCGGTGACGATTGCGAGCTCTCCTCGCTTCCCCAGGCACCAGTAGGATGCCTAAAGCCAACAGAAGTAGCATCCACCTGAACATGTTACGTCTATTTTACACGCTGGCAATACGCAGAATGCACAATCGTTCCCGTCAAGTATTAATTGGCTAATGGTGGCTCCCCTTCGCCGTAGTGATTTCCTTTGCTGATCGGATCCCTCGCAATTTACGTTGTTGATCCAATGACCTCGGAAATGTTTGTATACAATGTAACAGCCAGCGATACGTCTGTGATTTTAGAATTTTCCTGGTACAGAACCATCTTCAATAAAAAAAACAGTGGCTCTACAAAATTTAACCTCAGATTTCTGTATCTCTTTCATGATCATGTGTCAATATAATAAGTGCAAGTAGGTGATCAGCCTGTGCCTGGCAACGTGGTAGACTTCTTGGGTCTAAGGCAAGTCGGTTTCCTCACGATGTTTTCGTTATCGTTTGAGCGAATGTTAAATGCGCACATAGACAGAAAGTCCAATGGTACACAGCCGGGAATAGAACCTACGACCTCAGCGATGAGAGTCGCACGCTGAAGCCACTTGGCCAACACTTCTTCAATTAAAACACAATCATATTATGAAGTATAGGAGTTAATCCTATATTATACATACATCGCTTTTGCCGCTCGCAGCTAATCATAATTAGTCTATAGTAAAATCTTATTTTCCAGAATTATTTAGGATTTTCCTCAACATTTTTTGACCGTAAAACTGTCAGAAAAAATGTTTATGAAATAGATGAATGTATGCAGACACATCGCTATATCTTCGCGCAAGCTACTAGTAATAAGCTAATAATTAGCACCTATTCATTTGAATGAAGAGAAAATAAATAAAAAAATTGTTCATGTTTTATCACTTGTCGTTCATATCTATATTACTGATTATACATTATTTCTATAGAGCTCTGAGTCGTAGGGTATTTTTAATTATTTCATATTATGTGTAATTTCAGGGGATTGTGGAATGTTCCATTCATAAGCAACTGTTATCTATTGAAAGTCGATTTGTTCAGACAGCCAAGTCTCAAAGAAGTCACTTTTAAAGTGGAGGGCCGCGACCCAGATATGGTATTCTGCGAGAGTCTTAGAGAACGGGTAAGTTTGATACAAAGTAAAACACCACCGCGGTTTTGTGTGTAATCTACACTTATATTATAACGAGGAAAGATTTTATTGTTTGTTTGAATATGCTCCAAAACTGCACTAGTGATTGAAAAAGTATTTCATCATTACCCTATGTTATCCCCGGTGAACATACTCTATTATATAACGGGGCAAACGGGCAGGAAGCTCACCTGATGTTAACTGATACCGCCCATGGACACTCACATTGCCAGAAGCCTCGCAAGTGGGTTTCCTGCCTTTTAAGAATTCGTATTGGCTTTTCTTGAAGGACCCTAAGTCGAATTGGTATGGATATACTTCTGTTTAAAATTCTCATAGTAACCCATACTATCGTAATTTCAAACAATTTGAAAAATGTGTGAAAAAGGCCAATAGAAATTTTTAAATCGCGTATGCTTCGGAAACTATTGACATTTAAAGTGATGTACTACAATCTCTACAAAAAAGTATATATTAATAAAATTAACTCATTCATTTGTTGGAGTTTATTGTTTTTCAAAGAAATTAATTCCAATCTTAAATCACAATTATTCACCTCTATTACTACCAAATATGTCATAGACAAAAATTTGTTCGACATATACACTATACATTAGATATTTATAAGACTTTTACGACTATATAGATTATGTATAGAGAGAGAGAGAGAGATAGAAATCTATAGAGATTCATGTGTTTTAGGGTGTCTTTATGTACGTTAACAATGAAGAAGCGTACGGGCATTTGATAAATCCCGAATGGTTCGACACTCGCCACACCAATCCAGACATTTACGAAATCATTCATAATAGACAAGAGTGGGAAGATCGCTACATTTCCCCTGAATACTGGCAGAGCTTGGAAAAGACATATGAGCCGTCCATGCCATGTCCTGACGTTTATTGGTTCCCAGTGGTGACTCCACGGTTCTGCAAGGAGTGGATCGAAGTTATGGAGGCGTATGGAAAATGGAGCGACGGGTCCAACAAGGTAAAATATTCTATGTGGCGGCTAAGGGCGCGTTGAAGTATTATGTAACGACTTACATAATGATATCTTTTAGATATAAAGAGTCACTGGGTGGTCACGAAACGTTTTACTATTGGGTACATTCTTTTCTTTTTTTTGCGACTGAGCGGCAAATTAGCTGCTGTGGTCTCTGGCAGAATGACCAGCGCTGTGGAATAGTCTGCTCCTCAACATAATGCTGAGCCAGGGCGAATTACAGCCACAGCACACACGCATTACATTATTGTGACGAACCGAATGGGAAAAGGAAAAAAAAAAATATATCTCTCATAATATCTTTTAATTTAATTTTTTTCTCTTTGATTATTGTTATTTTGTGTGTTTTTGCTTGTAATAAATGATATGTCTACGTACAGAAAAACGTTACGGTGCGTTACATGGGGGGTTCGAGAATCTCCAAAAATTGCGTGACGTAATACTTGAACGATCCGAAACGATAGCGCGTTTATGGTTGAATGTGATTGGTTAAACGGTTGTTGAATAATTGTAGTCATACGAAGCGCGACATTCTTTATACATTTTCTCATTTGAAAGTAGAAATTGAAGACAAGACAAGACAGAAATGTGTGTTCCCAAAAGAAATGTCTAGGCTGTATAAATAATATATTATGTTTTGATTAATAAATTGTATGAAAACTTTATATATTCAAAAGATAGTGCATCTAAATACTAGCTAGTATAACCTTATAAATAAAATATTTCTCTAATGTATGAATAAGCTATATTCCTTGATTATTCTTTGATTTTAACCCGCCATGCAAAAGTGATAGAGTCTTATAATCTCTAAATAAATCAATAATGTTTTATAAAAATGGTTATATATTAAAACAAGAATTGCCGGTCGAAACTAAAGACTTAAATTTGAATTTGTATTTTTAGTTTTTTTTCATTGGGTATTGTTTTTATTTGCAAGAGCACTGTTGGCTTGGTGGTTACAAAGTGCGACTCGCATACCTGGGGTTATACGTTCGATCCCCGGCTGTGCTCCAATAGGCTGTCTGTCTAAGTACGCACTTAACACTCCCTCCTACGGCGAAGGAAAACATCGTGAGGAAATGTTGCCTTAGACCCAAAAAGTCGACGGCGTGTGTCAGGCACAGGTTGATCATCTACTTGCCTATTAGAAATGAACACGAAATAGGTGCAGAGATCTGAGGCCGAACTAAAACGTTGCAGCGCCATTGGTTTATTATTTTTTATTATGTATATTGTTTTTAAGCAATTTGATGGAAATTTTAAAAGATTAGTTCGAATACGATTTTTGTTCAGTTTCTTTGAATTAGCTTGTTATGTATTGTTGGAAAGCTAATATTTTTAAAATCGTCTTCAAGCCAAGTTTCATAATATTTTTTGTTTGTAAAGGCGTGGAAAAAAAATGTCCAAAAAATATATATGTTTAAATTACCCCGTTTCAGGACACTCGTTTAGAAGGAGGGTACGAAGCAGTACCGACTCGTGATATTCATATGAAGCAAGTTGGTTTGGAGACTCAATGGTTGAGGTTCCTCAAGGATTACATAAGACCTCTCCAAGAGAAGACCTTCCTTGGCTACTACCACGATCCACCGGTTTCATTAATGAACTTTGTGGTGCGATACCGACCTGATGAGCAGCCATCGCTAAGACCTCACCATGATTCTTCAACGTACACGATCAATTTGGCGTTGAACACTGTGGGAGAGGATTATACTGGTGGTGGATGCAGGTAAGAAACAGATCGGTATAAAAAAGGAAAAACGCCGGCAGCACACTCGCGATCCTGGCATTGTGAGAGTTTATAGGCGGCGGTGTATTTAATATTTTCCCCGTTATAAAAATATGTATTTAAATTTTTTAGTTTTTAATATTTTTACCATTCAAAATGACATCCAAAAAATAAGGTTTTTTTCTCCTTGTGTATAGGCATACGATATTTGAGAATTTATATTATGTATTATGTTTAACGTCTTAAGTGTATGTATGTTTGTACATAACTCATTTCAAGAGTTATATATGAATCGGCTAATTACAACTTAATGAGTTACAAGTTTAGTCGAAATCGGTACAGTAGTTTTGAGATATCTATTATTAGTTTGAGTTTAATGCTATATCTACAGTATACGTTACAACCTATTTTTACAATACACTTACAAAATACTATAAAAATACCAGCAGTTTTTATTAAGCAGAAAAAAACAATCAGCGGATTAGATATGAGATAGGCACTTAACAATGGTTTTTTTTATATTTAAAATATATTATATATAATATTTTTATTTGAGCTTTTCTCTTTATGTAGTTCTCTTTAAAACGGTTAACTTTTACAGGTTTATCCGTTATAACTGCTCAGTACAGGATACAAAGCGTGGATGGATTCTAATGCACCCAGGAAGACTTACACACTATCACGAGGGTCTGAAGGTCATATCTGGTACAAGGTACATCATGATATCCTTTATTGACCCATAGATGCAAGAATATTGTAAGGTTCAGGGGTCAATCAACTTTAGTATCATTTTTAGATATGTTAATGCAATTAGATATTTTGGTTCCCGTAGGAAAGTGTAACATTTAAGATATTTCTTAATTTTTTTCTGACTTATTAGGCCTTAAGCGATGAACTCAAAAACTCATGATATTCTAAACTAAAGTCTAGATTTAAGATTTAATTTCGAAATCTGACATATTTGATAGTGTCCTAGATTGTGACTATTAATTTTCTTAATAATTTCAAATTTAAAATCTTAATTCTTTTGAATCTTTAGACGTGAATCGAATAGATTTAGAAATAACAAAATTTGATACATCGTATAGATTGAATCATAAAAATAATCCGATATTGTTATTGTTTGACGTGATAACGTCTTATAAATGGATGAACGCCGGCTGCACGAAAAAACAACAACTCAAGTGAAATGAAAAGTAAATGTCAATTCCTTTATTTATTACAACAACAATTGCAGCAAAAAGGTAAAAATTCTTGCATTTTAAAAGTTTGACTAGCAATATAATCTCAAATATTTGTTCTTTGATTATTAAAAAAAAATATTTGAATGGAAGAGTGCAAAGATATGTTAATTTCAAAAAAATATATAATTATCAATTAACTCCTTTATATTATAAAAATTTTGATAATTTAGTGATAATAATTCAATTCAATTCATAAAGGTTGCAATTTTTCACCAAGGGTTTTCTTATGACGTTATCACGTAAAATTATCGCCCGCACAGACAATCAAATTTAATTATTTTAAATAATGTTTTTAAATTAAGTTTTAAGTTTAAATCAAATATTTCCTATTTAAGTGTTAATGCAATTTGGCATTTATGTATGCTTTTACCAAAGATGTATGCGATGTTATATGAAATACATGTATTAATTTTTATTAGTTGTTTTATTATTTAACCCCCTAAACCACAACCGGACAGACATACTCTGTATAAGTTTTATTAATCAATATACTTCATGATTGATAAAGATGGGTGACTTAAAATCCATTATGAGATGTTTTGCTTCGAGAAATTGTGTTCACTTGTGGAACTCAATATAGAAAAATAGTAATGATGTTTGAATAAATGTTTATTAAAAATAACGTCCTTAGTAAACAAATACTGCCATCGTCAGTATTAGTTTAACCTAGCCCCATTTATAAACCTGTAAAAAGGTAACTATCGAAATGTGATCAAAAGAATTGTTAATAGTAAACAAATTATTTGCTTCTTCCTAACATTAAATATATATATATGTCTGATTGATGATGGTGATTGTGGAAAACGTACTTAAGCGTCTAATATTTAAAGTTTTCTTCTTATCAATGTTTCAGAACTAAAGATGAACATGTCTCTAATATATAACATTAAAGTTTAATCTGTCTTATTTGATGGAAGCTTGTAATTGCTTGTCAATTCGAAATGTAACTGTTGTATTGTATATGTCGGAGTAATGGCGCTGTTATCGGCTGCCATTTTTATTATAACTTAATAACATCAAAGTCGAATTAGTTAAAAACCGTTATATGGTTTATTAGATTTGCCAATATTAATAAATCTACAGATTAACAGACTTTTTGATAGTCAATGGTCGAGAATAATAATGACTCCATAGTCATTATTATTTTTATGTAAAGCTATTTATCATAATTGTATAATCATAACCAGCGTCATTACTCCGACATATATGATCCAACAAAACCCCGTCCGTCCAAAATAGTTTGGACTTGTCGTAACTTCATACCTATATTATTGATTATCATTTAGTACATTCTATTTGTAATGATTTGTACTAAACTGGTGCCCAAGCTACAGTAAACGCAAAAGTGGAAGACAATAAAGAAGGATATACCAGATTAAGGCAGGTACACGGCAGGCACAGTGCAGACAGATATGGTGGGTTTTAGAGGAGGCCTTTTAATCAATAAAAATGAAAAATATTGTCATTGATACCTCCATCATTTTTGAGTCGGATATATTAATGTATAGGGATTTATATATTTAAACTAGTTTTACCCGTGTATTTCAGTCAATTTATATAAAACTTACTGACCCGGCAAACGTTGTTTTGCCATGTATATTATTTCCAGGAAACATTTTTTTAGTACAATAAAAATAACAATCTACTATAATTAAAAATAGGGGTTGATCGTAGAGGGGTGAAAATTAGGGGTTGTGTGTATTTTTGTATGCTGTATCATTAAAAGATAAAAACAAAAAAATTGTCTAAAAAATAAAAGCAATTTTTTTGGGGTGGACACCTAGTTCTTTGAAAGATAGATAGTAGCCGATTCTTAGACTTACTGAATATCAATAAAAAAATTCATAAGAATCGGTCGAGCCGTTTCGAGTATGGGAACGAACATTGTGACACGATAATGATGGTGAATGAGAGAATAATGAATTAACAACTTGGCCAGGCACTTCTGGTGAAACGTTGAAAGCTTCGGTAGTGTTAAGGTTTTCGCGCTTATACAGATAGACGTGGTAGATCTATAATAAATTTTGTAATATGTATAAGTTAAGTAAAGACATAAAATCGTAATTATAATTAGGTCGAAGCAGAAGAGTCGATGTTCTCTTCCACGGTCTCTTTTGTCTCTTGCGATTTCCAATTATTAAATACTTTGGTTGGGAACCGATAGTGTTTACCAAACGCCGGCTCCGCGTACTTCTTGAAGCGTCGGAACTCGACCTCTTCCTGATTCCATTCCTTCTGATCGACGTAGGGGAATATTTTACGCATCCACTCGGGCATAAATTCGTCCATGTAATAAAAGCGGCGCCTCCAAACTTTGTGTGTGTCGCAGTAATGGCCACCGTTGCCTCCAATCCAGAAGGGAATACTGCGAAGGGTAACATTTAGCTATCAATTAGTATAAAATAAATTCAAAGGTCCAGCGGGTCAACGGCCGACTATGTTCAATGGGAATCAAATCATCAATTAATTCTTTTGTTAAACTACAGCTGTAAGATTTACTGTTCGATTTCGGTTGAAGGTGAAGTCATTGTGTTAGATAATTTTGTATCGGTGCACAGTCTGGCATTGAAGGCAGGACTCCAGGGTTGAGTCACGCGCCTGGCTGACAATTAAGTTTTTGAAAAAAAAAAATTGTGATAAAGGGAAAGATCATATATATAAGTTTTATAACAAAACTATTTTTTTATTTTTTTTCGCAATAATTCAAAAGTTATTTCAAAATAATAAATAATTTTCGAATCCAGTACCGAAATCACGCCGAACAAACCCGAGCGCGGGTGACGTCATAATGTTAGTTTTCACTCATTGCAGTTGATAGAAAAATAATAAATACAGTGTTTTGATCTATTTAATTTTGTTAATTAATATTAATATTTAATATATTAAATATATATAGATATATATATTAATAGCCGTAAACGCTGTACTGTTAAATTGCTTTAACATTATGACGTCACAACATGGTGTTCGATCATTCATGGCGCGTTTATAGTCACGTGATTTTTATTTAAAATTCATCAATAATTTTTAATTGTTTATAATTAATTGAATATTTTATTTTTTAAGTTTTAAGTTAACAATTTAGTTGCAAATACATAAAAAAAATCATTTTTTTTTTCAAAAACCCAATTGCATATTTATTTAGGTATATTTTATTAAGTAGTTTTGAATTAATTTATTATAAAAGTCTATTGAAACTTTACTTCAAATGCCTGAAAATATTATACCTGGATACCTATTGTAGATTACAGAAACGCGTGGATATCCCCATCTTAAAAACTACTAAATCGATTTTTATGTAACTTGATCTGTTCCCAAAGTGGGAATGGCTAATTTGAATAAAATGTCCAACTTAGATCCCGAGAAGTTAATGTACATTCTACATAATAATGTACATACACTTACAAAATTTCATTTAAATTCAAATAAGAAAGAGTACGAGTTAGTGTTCAAGTAATTTGTATTTTTGTGTATGCGACGACGCGATTTATAATAAATATTATACAATTTCCACTCATTCTCTATCGGGTTCTAGCTAAGTACTCACAGACTCAAATGCCGAAGTCCCCACCGGTAGGCATTAGTGTAGAAGTAAGCTGATACCGGGTTGAGGTGAGGATAGGGCTTCGCCCCCGAAATACCAGCAGAGAGAGCCACTACGGTCATGCCGACTTGGTAGCCATCTATCATCACCACTAGCCCCGCTTGTACATTTCCCCTCGTCGGAAGGGCAACTTTTGCGTTCGCTTCTGTTTATTTAGAAATAATATTTTCAAATATATGTAATTATAGGTACATAGGTATATACTGCTATTTACAAAATGCTGGTGATCGGAACTTCATTACGGGGCTATAGAAAAATTATTTCTTGTAGTCGTTTGAGGTGAGACAGTCTACGAAGACAGGAACCATTTTCATATTGTCATTCACGCACTCACGTGTAAACACGTATCACGAACACTCAAATCTATAAAAATTTTGATTCACTGTGTTTGTTATTTTATTGTACCTCGGAAGAGTCTGGTCTGACCTGACTGCCAACCAACTGTCCAATACAGGAATGTATAGTGTGTCCCAACAGTACCAAAATGAATAAAGTTTTCTAGTAAAAAGTTAATACATTAGAGTAAAACATATAATCAATACGACATATTATGTAATTTAAATATCCATAAGTGTAAATACGCTACTCCAAGGAGTTAAAGCAATACGTTTTTTTTCTTACAAAGTTGTTACATGTGTTGAACTTTAACCACAAAATCTTTACCGGTTATTTTACATGAACTGGAAAAGTATTAACTATAACTAAGAAGGGTCACGTTCTCTATAATTTCAATCATTGACTCTAATTAAAATCACAATACAATATAAATTAAACTTATAATTAAATAAATAAATAAATAAATTCCTCGATACAAAAATATCACAAAGTCTCCCATAACTTTTGTCTAATTCTTTTTGTATTTAATCATGTGTCATGATTAAGTAACCGTTCCTAT